TCTAAGAAGATTAGGATATTATTAAGGTAGTATATTATAAAGATATTAAGGTATTATCGAAGTATATAGTTAATTATCTTCTAGAAGGTTGCTAGTGCATTTATAAGACTAAAAGGCATTACTAGGTATTTAAAAAGTCTGAACTTAGTTTAAAATGCTATTTTCTATTTATCTCTTTCCTTAATGCGTATAAAATTATATACTCCCTTGAGGTCTAGAGCGGTGAAGATCTGTTTTCCCTGTAATTAGTCTTTTAACTCTGTGATTAGCGGTAGTAGTATCTAATCTTTAATAGTGCAAGTATTTAAATCTCAGTAGTTAATAACTGGTTATAGTTTTCCGTTTTTCTTAGGTATAAATATCATAGGTGCTCCTGCTGGTAATATAGATGGCCTAATATATCCCTTTTCTAATCCTTCTTAGATATATTTCTATAGTTCTTTGGATTCTTATTAATTTAGTAAATAGATTTTTTATAGTAGGATATTCTTATTTATAAGTATAATCTTATAATCCTATCTGCTATACTTAGGTATCTTAGTATTTAATTCTCCTTTAAATAGTTTATAATATCTTTAGTATTCCTTTAGTATATAAGGCATTATTTTTTAATTTATTTCTCTTTATAAGACTTCTTTTTATAAGTCACTTCTGCTAAATATACCTAAGATATATTTCTTTTACTTCATGCTTATTATATACTAGGGTATTATCCTTTATAGGTATAGTAAGTTTATTCTATATATACTTATGCTGGTATCTCTAATTAGAGTCTAAAATCTCTTATAGTTTATTATAATTATTATTTTATCTCTATTTAAGCTACTTTAGAATATAACTTAGCCAGTCGTCTAGTTAATAATTAGGTTTTCTCGTTTAAGCTATGCTATTCCGAGGAGTAATTATATTCTATTTCCTAATAGTATAATATCGCAATATACTTAATAATTCTTTTCTTAGATAAGGATCTCAAGGTAATTAGTCTCTTAATCTATAATTCTATTATTATAACTGAAAAGTTACCCTTCTATATTAATAAGTAGGTATAGTATTTACTTCTTTCTCTAGGGTAGATAGAGCTCTATGACTAGTCTTAGATTAATAAAGTTTCTCTTAGCTCTATAGTTAATCTATGCATTTAGCTATCTTCCCTTAATCTAAACTCATAGTACTAGGCGATCAGGCTTGCTATTTTATATAGCTCCTAGAGCACTTTAAGGGCTAAGTTATTCTTATCCTTATACTTTACTCTTCTATAGCTTTATTATAGAAGGCATTTATCTTTTCTTAATTCTTCGTAGTTATCTTTTATAATTTTAACCTATTTAAATTCTTTTTCGAGGTTAATATATTTAAATACTTATTTATTTGCTAGTTCTTCGGCGAACTTATTAAGTTATTATATCTTACTGTAGATGCTAGCGAAGTAAAGTCTATCTGCCTCCTATATGCATTCTAGTTTATTGATATCTTCGGATAATTCCTTATTATTCTGTTTTTCTTTATTATTTTGGGTTTCTTTATGTTTTCCCTTTATAAGTTCCTTTAACTCTTAATTGGCTTTTTTAAGGATCTCTAGGTTTTATTAAATATCCTCCTTTATTCTTTAAGCCTTTTCTTGCTATCAGTAGTAGGCTAAGTTAAATCGAAGTTCCACTACTCCTATGCTCTTATACTAAGAGTGCATTAAGTAGCCTATTATCTCTTCTAGAGCGTAGGGTTTATTATTAAGGTTTCTAGGTATTATCACTAGAAAGTAGTTATTATCTTTCTTATTTTCTCAGTGGAGTTTATACTAATAGTAGCAATATAATACCTATGCAATCTTATTATATTAAGGGTGCATTAGTATTATTTCTGCCTTATTATTAGTATTAAACTCTGGTTCCTTATAGTAAAGGTTTAATGCTTTGCCTATATAGTAAGCCTATATATATATATTTTTGACTTTTATAGTATCTTTATATTCTTGCAATCCTTATATATATATATCTTCCCTGCTATTAAATATGCGGATCCCTGTCTTGTTATATAGTAGTAAGTATTCTTATCTCTACTTATTCTTAAGTTTCTGGTCTTTATATCGGAGGTATTGCGCTATTTCTCTTGCTACTCCTCCTCTTTATCCTATATATTAAGCGTGCATTTATTGCCTGGCGTATAGCCGGTATATAGCTTCTCGCTCTTATAGTATAATCCCTTCTTTTTCTTATACTTTAGTCCTTATAGGGAGGTTATCTATTGCTTAATTGCCTTTATTTAAGGTATTGCTAGGCATCGTTAGGGTTATTATAACTCCTAGTGTTTATTTATTTTTATAGTACTAGTCCTATTATCTTTATAACTGTTTTTCTTTTTATTCAGGGGTTTAGTTATGGTATTTCTTTTATGCCTTCTTGGCCTTAACTTCCTTGGTTTTAACCTCTATTTCCTTCTGGTAATATTCCCTGATTTTATTTAAGGATTTAAATAGGTCAGATAGCGTTTTAACCGAGCTATCTGGGTATATAACCTATTAGGTCTTGGTTTTAGTGTCCTTTTCTAGGGCTTTTTTATTAGCTATATTATACCCTATTCTATATATTCCCAGCATCTAGGTGCACTATGCTATTTAAGGTTTCTATTAGTTAGTTATTCTAAGTATTTACTTACCTTAATTTAGGTTTTATAGTTTTTATAGCTTAAGGCAGTTTTATAATATATATCCTAACTGGTTACAGTTATAGCACTTGCATTTAGATATATCTCTTCCTAGATTATTTAGTTATATAGCTCTGAGGGCCATGGGTCCAGGTTGCATTCTATGCAAGGTATTATTTCGCTGCTATTATTAGTTTTAAGAGTTATTCTTATTATAGCTATAGTTATTTCCGTGATTATTATTATTGCAGTATTAATTTGGAAAATAAGGGTTATAGTTGCTTCCCTTTCTTATGGCATTGGCTTTCTCTCTTTTGTGTTTATACTATTATTTATTGATTTTAATAGCTATAGTAATATACTCTATAAGATTATTAGGTCTATCTGCCTTATAAAGTTTATCTTTAATTTCTTCCTTTAGGCTATAGTAATAAATTTCTATAAGTGCTTTATTATCCTAATCTATTTTAGCGGCAAGTTATTAAAACTTAGCAGAGTATACTGCATATAATCTTTACTATTTAAGACCGAGGATTTTAGCAGCTGCTTATCGTTCTTTATTAATTACGCCGAAGTTATCCTTCAGGAGTGCTTTAAAGTTAAGCCAGTCTGTAAATATATTCTAAGTTTCCTAGTCTTACTGATTATAGTCGTTTTCCAGATAGTCTTTCCAGAGGGGTTTAAACTAATCCTTAGTATCTCCTTAGATTAATAGTGCAGTATATAGTATCTTTTTTACTGCAGTATTCAGTTTAGTAGGAAATAGCTTAAAATATCCTTTTATATAGGTAAGGAATAGTAAAATATCTACTGCTTTCCCTTTAAATAGTTCCAGGGTTAGGGGCTTAATAATTTCTCCTAGGTTATATTAATTATTAATAGGGTTAACCGGTAGTGCAGGCGGAGGTTATTTATTTACTCTCCCCTGTAGGGTTTATATAGTATTTCTAAGCTATTAAAGCTTAGCTATTATTTTAGCTATACTAGGAGGTAGTCCCGTGTAAGGTGATACCAGTCCGTTATTATTAGCGTTAATAGATATTATAATAGTATAATAATATTACTCAGCGTTTATGCAGTATATTCTAAATAAGAGCTATTAATGTATAATAGTTAGGTTTTCCAAGGGATAAACTAGTCCATTCTAAGTTTATATTGGCAGAGTCGTAGGGCATATAATACTAAGTGGTTGCAAAGTATTATATCTCTTAATAGTGAATAAGGCAGGTTAGGCGTATTCAGGTAAAGATATTTATTAATAGCTAGTAAGCTAAGTTCTATTTAATGCTTAAAGAGTATAGCTATTTATATTAGTCTAGAGGTATAAGGTAATAGGCATTATCGTTATACTAGTCTTAGACTGAGATACTAGGTTATTAATCCTGGACTGATGTGAAGTTATTTAGTCCTTATCTAATTAGTCAGTATTTAGGGACTAAGAGTTGATCTTTCGGTCCTGATATAATTGGTATAAAGTGAGTGTCAAGGTGGGTTATGTCAAAGTGGAATAGTGTGAAAGTGGGGTATATATAACCTGGTTATAACATTTAAGGCGAGAAATTTATTTCAGATAACACTATAGGCTCTGCAAAGATATAAATATTATTAAGATTACTCATAGTTATACTTAATTAGTTTAATATTACTTCTATATTAATCTTTAACTTAAAGCTTCTTAATACTTATTACTAATATCTTATAAAGTATATACCTTTGCAAATAATATTAATATATTTAAAAGAATAGTTAAGGTTACTATACGCTTATTAATACACTGTAAAGGGTTAAGGTCTTATATATATAGTATAGTAAGGAAAATTTCATTATATTTCCCAGTAATATAATAGCTACCTTGTGTGACAGTTGGGTTTTCCAAGGGATAAACTAGTCCGTTCTAAGTTTATATTGGCAGAGTCGTAGGGCATGTGATACTAAGCGATTGCGAAGTGTTATATCTCTTAATAGTGAATAAGGCGGGTCAGGCGTATTTAGGTAAAGATATTTTAATTAATAGCTGTCGAGCTAAGTATACTAACTAGTGCTAAGTGAATATATATATACTTGGGTGTTTCTGGGCGATCAGTGAGGTTATCGTAGGATCAGTGCTAAGCCGAGAGGATCAGTACTGATCAAGTTGGATTAGTGCTGAGCGTAGAGTCTTGGCACTGATCGTATCAAGTGATCATAGTAGGTGATTGGTGAAAAAATATAGGGGCCTGTGCAGGGTAACTAAGCTATCCGTTGAATCGTAACACGATCTCTCCCCTCTCCAGGTCTTGTCCTCAAGGCCTAGTCTATAACATTCTTCTTTGTTGGTTAGCCCTGGTAAGCCAACTTAAACCTATAATCTTACTCCTAAGATGTCTGCTAACCGTATAGCAAAAGCGAAAAAGAAATCTACCGAAAACCGTCACGCCCTTTTAACCACTATTTCATCACTTGGTGTCAGAATCATGCCTTGTTTGAACTGCATGAGTCATAGTCTGACTGATCAGTGTATTCTTAATCCTGAGAAGTCTAACTGTTGTGAGCCTTATGCAAAGGCTGGTTATTCTTGTGATGGTCATGGTTTATCGTTGTCGGCGGGTGAGTGATTTTTCTGTGGTTTTTTGATGATTTATGTATTAAATGACGTCAGCTCGCAAACTTGCCGATAAGAAATGTCAATTAGAGCGAGATAAGGAGGCTGCTGAAGAGGAGCTAATTCGTCTCCAAGCCGAGTCTTCTCGTATTCATAATAAAATGAATGCTCAATTCTCAAAGATCACTCGTTTAAGGCGACAGCGTCGTTAGGTTGAAGTGAAAGGTATGGATATGATTCAGCGTGGTCTGAATTCAATGGATAAGTTGGAAAAGGCGGAGAAGGATAAAGAGGCTTCATTGGAGTTGGCCAAGTCGAATGGTACTTTTCGTGACTGGTTGGCCATTGCTGAGCAGTCTACTTTCGAGTCTCTTGGTCTTAGGCCATACGTGGATCCTTCTTTGTTTTCTGACGTTATTGGTAAAAGCTCTTTAGGAGTCGTTAGGCATTAATTAGGTGTTTTGGTGGTTCCTATGTGTTTTCGTTTTCTAGGTAGTTTTTCTATTTCACCAAATATATTATTTATCCGTTGATTTTTTGCATATCTCTGATTTCTTTGACCTCGTAGGTTTCTGGTCTATTAATTTCTTCAGGTTTATTGCCGATTTTGACTTTAATAGTATCGGCGGCTGTTTTAAGAAATGAGATATGGTAAATTAGGTAGAGTCTAATTTTTGCCGATAGCTCCAGTTTATAGATATCTTTCTTGACTTATCGTTTAATTTTATATAGTCCGATGAACTTATAGTCCAGTTTATATAAAGGCCATTTTATTGTAATGTTTTTTATGGATAGGTAAACCATGTCTCCCTCCTTGAAGGTTAGTCCCTCTACCTTCTTTTTATCGTAGTAACGCTTTATTCGTTATCTGATATATTCTAGTTCCTTTTTTATTTCCTTGTGTAGGTTTTTGAGGTTATCTGCTTTTAGTATTGCTATAGGATTTACCGTTTTAGGATCTCGTTTATCGTAGTAAGCGTCTAGTGTAAATCTAAAGTTAGCGTATACTGGGGTTAACTTAGTGCTTTTATTATAAGCCGTGTTATAGGCGAATTGGGCGATAGGTAACTTTTTGACCCAGTTGTCTTATTCGTAATTAATATAGTATTGCAAGTATTATTCCAGTACTTGGTTTATTCGTTCAGTTTATCTGTCTATTTGCGGTCTAAATGCAGTAGATATTCGGTGATTTATTCCTAGCAAGGCTAAGAGTGCTTGCTAAAATTTGCTAGCGAACGTTATACCTCTATCCGATAGGATCTCGGATAGTAGTCTATGGTTCCTGAAAATTTAATCATAAAAGATATAGGCTATTTATTCTGCTTTAGTTGCTTCCTGATAAGGGATATAGTAGTAAAACTTTATTAAACGGTCTACTACCACTAGTATATTGTTATAGAAGATTCCGGTTAAAGGTTCTTCTGAAAGCGGTAGTTTAGTGATAAAGTCTATTGTTATTGAATCCTATGGTTGTTATGCCACTGGAAGTGGTTATAACCCTCCGTAGGGTTTATGTCGTTGTGCTTTTATCCTTGCGCATAAATCGCACTGTTTGATTGCATCTTCTACTTGTTTTCGTGTAGGATTATATCCTTTGTCTTGTAGTCTTTTTAGTGTCTTTGTTATACCCTGATAACCGTGTAGTAGATATGCATGGTAATTCTATAGTATCTTCCGCAGGTCTTCTTATTCTGCGAATTTCTTTCCTTAATTCTATATGCTGTTTAGGCTGCACTTTTTGCATTTATTAATAATATCTTGGATTTATTCATTTAATCCTTTAATTAGGAATTATCGTTATTTGTATTTCTTTTTTATCTCTGATAGGCTTGCGTGGTTTTATGCATAGTGCTTTTCTAAAGCGTCTATGAGTTCTATCGTTTTAACCGCATCGAGGAGTTCCTTTCCTCCTACGATGAGTCCTAGCGTGTATGCTTGTTGCGTAAGCTTGTATTCTCCTTTCCTTATTTCTTCGAGGAGTTATTTATTAGCTTTAACTGTTCCTATGTCGAAATCCGGTCGTCGGCTAATTGCGTCGGCTTTTCTGTTATCCGATCCTTTTCGGTGTATAATAATGAAGTTAAATTTACATAAGTACTCGGCGTACCTTGTTTATTGTCTATTGAGTTCTTATGTCGTGGTAAAGTAAATGATGTTTTTATGGTCTGTATAGACTTTAATCTGATGCTTACTTCCTATGAGGTAATGTCTGAACTCTTTAAAGCAGTTGAAGATTGCTAAAAACTCCTTGTCGTATATAGGGTAATTTAATTCTGCTCTGTGTAGTTTATGTGAATAGAATGCGATAGGGTGTAGTTTCCTAGTGTTATCTTATTGTCTAATCTGTCCTCCTAGGGCGAAGTCTGATGCATCTATTTCTAGTTTGATTTCTTTTATTGGATTAAAGATGGCTAAGACGGGTTCGCTGAGGATTACTTGCTTGAGTTGCTTAAATGCTTGTTGGGCTTTGTCGTTCTAAGTGAATGCTTGGTTCTTTTTAATTAACTCCGTAAGTAGGTTAGTAACTTTGCTGAAGTCCTTAATGAATCTTCTGTAGTAGTTAGCAAAGCCTAAGAAGGCTTGTATTTCCTTAATATTAGTAGGGACTTTCTAATCGGCTATAGCAGAGATTTTATCTTTTTGCATGCGTATCTCGCCTAGTCTGATAGTGTGTCCTAGAAAGTTAACTTCAGTAACGTGGAAGTGATATTTTTCCGGTTTAACTAATAGTTTGGCATCCTATAGTAGTTATAGGACCTTATGGATATGTTCTCTGTGTTCTTCTTTGTTGTCTAAGAAGATCAGGATATCGTCAAGGTAGTATACTATAAAGATATCGAGGTATTATCGAAGTACGTGGTTGATTATCTTCTAGAAGGTTGCTGGTGCATTTATGAGACCAAAGGGCATTACTAGGTACTCAAAAAGTCTAAACTTGGTTCGAAATGCCATTTTCTATTTGTCTCCTTCCTTGATGCATATAAGATTGTATACTCCCTTGAGGTCTAGAGCGGTAAAGATCTATTTCCCTTGTAATCGGTCCTTTAACTCCATGATTAGCGGTAGTGGCATCCAATCTTTAACGGTGTAAGCATTTAAATCTCGGTAGTCGATAACTGGTTATAGTTTTCCGTTTTTCTTGGGTATAAATATCATGGGTGCTCCTGCTAATGATATAGATGGCCTGATATGTCCCTTCTCTAATCCTTCTTGGATATATTTCTATAGTTCTTTGGATTCTCGTTGGTTTAGCGAATAGATTTTTTATAGTAGGATATTCTCGTTTATTAATATAATCTCGTGATCCTATCTGCTGTGCTTAGGTATCTTGGTATCTAATTCTCCTCTGAATAGTTTGTAATATCTTTGGTATTCCTTTGGTATATAAGGCATTATTTTTTAATTTATTTCTCTTTATAGGACTTCTTTTCGTAAGTCGCTTCTGCTGAGTATGCCTAAGATGTGTTTCTTTTGCTTTATGCTTATTGTATACTGGGGTATTGTCCTTTATAGGTATGGTGAGTTTATTTTATGCGTGTTTATGCTGGTGTCTCCAGTTAGAGTCTGAGATCTCTCGTAGTTTATTGTGATTATTGCTTTATCTCTGTTTAAGTTACTTTGGAATGTAACTTGGCTAGTTATCTAGTTAATAATTAGGTTTTCTCGTTTAAGCTATACTATCCCGAGGAGTAATTATATTCTATTTCCTAATAGTATAATATTATAATATACTTAATGATTCTTTTCTTGGATAAGGATCTCGAGGTAATCGGTCTCTTGATCTATAATTCCGTTGTTATAACTGAAAAGTTGTCCTTCCGCGTTAATGAGCGGGTATGGTGTTTGCTTCTTTCTCTAGGGTAGGTGGAGCTCCGTGACTAGTCTTGGATCGATGAAGTTTCTCTTAGCTCTATAGTCAATCTATGCGTTTAGCCATCTCCCCTTGATCTGAACTCGTAGTACTAGGCGATCAGGCTCGCTATCTTGCGTAGCTCCTAGAGCACTTTGAGGGCCAAGTCGTTCTTGTCCTTGTGCTTCGCTCTTCTATGGCTCCGTTACAGAAGGCGTTTGTCTTTTCCCGATTCTTTGTAGTTGTTTTTTGTGATTTTAACCTGTTTGAATTCTTTTTCGAGGTCGATATATTCAAATACTTGTTTGTTTGTTAGTTCTTCGGCGAACTTGTCGGGTTGTTGTGTCTTGCTGTAGATGCTGGCGAGGTGAAGTCCGTCTGCTTCCCATATGCATTCTAGTTTATTGGTGTCTTTAGATAATTCCTTATTGTTTTGTTTTTCTTTATCGTTTTGGGTTTCTTCGTGTTTCCCCTTCGTGAGTTCCTTAAACTCTTGATTGGCTTCTTCGAGGATCTCTAGGTTTCGTCGGATATCCTCTTTTGTTCTTTAAGCCTTTTCTTGCTGTCAGTAGTAGGCTAAGTTAAATCGAAGTTCCGCTACTCCTATGCTCTTGTACTAAGAGTGCATTAGGTAGCCTATTACCTCTTCTAGAGCATAGGGTTTGTCGTTAGGGGTTCTAGGTATTATCACTGGAAAGCAGTCGTTGTCTTTCTTGTTTTCCTAGTGGAGTTTATACCAGTGGTAGCAATATAATACCTATGCAATCTTGTCGTATTAGGGGTATATTAGTATTATCTCTGCCTTATCGTTAGTGTTAAACTCTGGTTCCTTATGGTGAAGGTTTAGTGCTTTGCCTATATAGTAGGCTTATATATATATATTATTAGCCTTTATAGTATCTTCGTGTTCTTGCGATCCTTGTATATATATGTCTTCTCTGCTGTTGAATATGCGGATCTCTGTCTCGTTATACAGTGGTGAGTATTCTTGTCTCCACTTATTCTTAAGTTTCTGGTCTTTGTATTAGAGGTATTGCGCCATTTCTCTTGCTACTCCTCCTCTTCGTCCTATGTATTAAGCGTGCATTTATTGCCTGGCGCATAGTCGGTGTGCAGCTTCTCGCTCTTGCAGTACGATCCCTTCTTTTTCTTGTACTTTAGTCCTTACAGGGAGATCGTCTATTGCTTGGTTGCCCTCGTTTAAGGTATTGCTGGGCGTTATTAGGGTTATTATGACTCCTAGTGTTTGTTTGTTTTTATAGTACCAGTCCTATTGTCTTTATAACTGTTTTTCTTTTTATTCAGGGGTTTAGTTATAGTATTTCTTTCGTGCCTTTTTGGCCTTAACTTCCTTGGTTTTAACCTCCATTTCCTTCTGGTAATATTCCCTGATTTCATTTAGGGATTTAAATGGGTTAGATGGCGTTTTAACTGAGCTATCTAGGTATATAACCTATTAGGTCTTGGTTTTAGTGTCTTTTTCTAAGGCCTTTTCGTTGGCCATATTATATCCTATTCTGCATATTCCCAGCGTCTAGGTGCACTGTGCCATTTAAGGTTCCTGTTGGTTAGTCATTCTAAGTGTTTACTTACCTTAATTTGGGTTTCGTGGTTTTCGCGGCTCGGGGCAGTTTCGTGATATATATCCTAACTGGTTGCAGTTATAGCACTTGCATTTAGATATATCTCTTCCTGGATTATTTGGTTATATAGCTCCGAGGGCCATGGGTCTAGGTTGCATTCTATGCAAGGTATTGTTTCGCTGCTGTCGTTAGTTTTGAGAGTTATTCTTATTATAGCTATGATTATTTCCGTAGTTATTGTTATTGCGGTATTAATTCGGAAAGTAGGGGTTATAGTTGCTTCCCTTTCTTGTGGCATTGGCTTTCTCTCTTCTGCGTTTATACTATCGTTCGTCGATTTTAATGGCTATAGTGATATACTCCGTAAGATTATCAGGTCTATCTGCCTTATAGAGTTTATCTTTAACCTCTTCTTTTAGACTGCAGTAATAGATTTCTATGAGTACTTTATCGTCCTAATCAGTTTTAGCGGCAAGTTATTGAAACTTAGCAGAGTGTGCTGCATATAATCCTTGCTGTTTAAGATTAAGGATTTTAGCGGCTGCTTATCGTTCTTCGTTAATTACACTGAAGTTGTCCTTCAGGAGTGCTTTAAAGTTAAGCCAGTCTGCGAATATATTCTGAGTTTCCTGGTCTTGCTGGTTATAGTTGTTTTCCAGATAGTCCTTCCAGAGGGGTTTAAACCAGTCTTTGGCGTCTCCTTGGATTAATAGTGCAGTATATAGTATCTTCTTTGCTGCAGTATCTAGTTTAGTAGGGAATAGCTTAAAATATCCTTTTATATAGGTAAGGAATAGTAGGATATCCGCTGCTTTCCCTTTAAATAGTTCCGGGGTCAGGGGCTTAATAATTTCTCCTAGGTTACGTTGATTATCGACAGGGTTAACCGGTGGTGCAGGCGGGGGTTATTTGTTTACTCTCCCCTGTAGGGTTTGTATAGTGTTTCTGAGCTATTGGAGCTCAGCCATCATTTCAGCCATACTGGGAGGTAGTCCCGTGTAAGGTGGTGCCGGTCCGTTGCTGTTAGCGTTAGTGGATATCGTGACAGTATGGTAATATTGCTCAGCGTTCACGCAGTACGTTCTGAACAAGAGCTATTAACGTATAACGGTTAGGTTTTCCAAGGGATAAACTAGTCTATTCTAAGTTTATATTGGCAGAGTCATAGGGCGTGTGATACTGAGCGATTGCAAAGTGTTATATCTCTTAATAGTGAATAAGGCAGGTCAGGCATATTCAGGTAAAGATGTTTTAATTGATAGCTATCGAGCTAAGTGTATTAACTAGTGCTAAGTGAATATATATATACTTAGGTATTTCTGGGCGATCAGTGAGGTTATCGTAGGATCAGTGCTGAGCCAAGAGGATCAGTACTGATCAAGTTGGATCAGTGCTGAGCGTGGAGTCTTGGCACTGATCGTGTCGAGTGATCATGGTAGGTGATTGGTGAAAAAATGTAGGGGCCTGTGCAGGGTGACTAAGCTATCCGTTGGATTGTAATACCTTGGGTTTAAAATATATATTATAACCCTAGCGATTATATTATATATACCCTATAGATTCTATATAGTATACTTTACTTATCTATAAATATACTTCCTGAGTTTACTAGACTATTTATAAGTAGATTATACTTATATAGGATTACTATACTCTAGGAGTACTTATAATTTAAGATTACTATAATCCCTAAATTAAGTAATCTCCTAGGGATTACTTAAGTATATATATATTTATTTAATATTAAATAGAACTTAGCCTATTAATTACTAATAAAATATTTTTACTTAAATATACTTTACTTACTTTATTTACTATTAAAAAATATAATACTTTATAATACTTTATATTATAATGCCTTATATATCTGCTAATATGAACTTAATATAGACTAGTTTATCCCTTAGGAATTATAATTCTTATATAATAATAGCTCTTATTTAAACTATATTATATTAATATTAAGTAATATTTATATAATAATATCTATTACTTTAAATTACCTTTATATTATTAAAACTAAATAGCTATTAACTGCTAAGATTCTATAATAAGGTGATACGATAACAACTAGGTAGAACGATAATAGCCTCTGTATTGTGACAAGACTAAAGCTTGTCTCCCTCTATTACTGATTGAGGGATTTGCAGGTAATTCCCCTTGGAGCGGGTCTCGACACGTGACCGAGAACCTCTCGAAGGTCGCAGGTTCGAGCCCCGTTACAGATTCCTTAGCCCTTATCCTAAGTATTTCTTAATATACTTATAGATATAAATAATAATAAAAAAGAAGAAATTATAGCTTCTTTTATCTATTTAAAGAATTATAAAGATAAGATTAAAAAACTTAAATAATAACTTAAGCACTCAGGAGACTAATATAATAAATTACTTAATAATATTAAAAGAAATACTACTATTTCCTAGGGTAAGATTAAAAGGCTTAAAAAATAATTTAAGAATTTTATTAAAATTGCTTAAGAACTTAGTAAAAAAGCAAAGAAAACTTAATGCCTATATTATAATAGTTATAATTCCTAAGGGATATACTAGTTTATACTAGGTTTATATTAGCAGATATATAAGACATTATAATACTAAGTACAATAAAGTATTATATTTCTTAATATTAAATAAAGTAAGTAAAGTATATTTAAGTAAAGATATTTTATTAATAGCTAATAAGCTAAGTTCTATCTAGTGCTAAGTAACTAAATATATATATACCTAAGGGATCCTTAGGGGATTACTTAAATCTAGGGATTATAATAATCCTAGATTAGGGTACTCTTAGAGCGCAGTAATCCTATATAAGCATAATCCACTTATAATTAATCTAGTGAACTTAGAGGCAAGCTCACAATTAAGTGGGTCAAGTTGCATGAAATTTATAGGGTATATATAATATAACCGCTAGGGTTATAATATATCTTTGCAGTATATTAATTATTTAATTCCAGGTTATTTTAAATAGCCTAAAGAGTAAAAATAATTCTAGCTTTAATTAAAGGTTATAGTATTACTGTTTATTAAAAAATAATAAATTAGGCAAATAATTAGATATAAGAGGGGAAAATGCAGCGCTTACTTATCTGCGGCACTCGCTTATTAAACATATTATAACTTCATTCTCTAAAAAACTAAGAATTTAGCTTACGATATGGAACAAGGCATGGCAATACTTGCGACCGCCTCTCTTCTTCACGAATCTAGAAGATCCGCGAATAATGCAATGAGAATCCAGAGGCTAACTGTCCTGGCCACTGTGTTTGTATCACTTTCTTTTATCTGTGCTGTTCGGGTATGAACTTCGAAGAACTGGGAACAGGTAAACTGAATATGTGGTGTTTGGCAATTACCGCAGTTCCAATCCTGGTTCCATCATTTGGAATATTCTATTTCGAGAAGATTCGATATTATTTCAAGTCTTGATGTTTTGAAGCCCTAATCATTCATTGTCATTTAGTTTGTATTACATAATACAACACTGAAAGTCTCGCTTACCCTATAATGGCTCTTTGGTCATAGAAAGTTTCATGAAGAAAACATGTTCGCTTAGCATGTCTCATTAAAAAACTAAAAACGAAAAACGCTCTATTATTAAATCAAGTCTATAACGTGCAACTCACTAAGTGCAACTAACCTATAATAATAAAGAATGGTGGTGATCTATACTCCCTGATCAGTGCAAGCATACATGATTTTTGTTGAAATGCGACTAGTTTCAAAGGTGACTCCAAGTTTAGTTAAACCGTTTCAAGTCACAAAATTCGGTGGCGTAAAGAGGCGTTCTCTCAGTGGGTCTTTTTGCAAGCCACTGACATCCTCGGTTCTCATTGACTCGGCTGGATATACGGCGTAGGAAATACTCCCAATTTTCTAAGCCTATAGTAGCTTTACGTTGCCTGCATAAACCCTGCATTAGTGCGAATGAATCAGAAACGCGCTACCGAATTTCGTCAGTTAATACGTTATTAGTGACTGACACAATGGCCATAGAGGCTATTGAGAAGGAAGAGCTGACTCTTCGTGGTAGTGTATCGGATTCACAATATGCGGTGTGCTTTGAAAGTGGTTCACTGGTTCCTTCATCTTCCGAGATAAATATCTTAACAATTAAATTAGCTTTTCCTCGTTGAGCGGAAACGCCTTGCTTAATAGTAAGCCGTAACCGTTATGGGTTCTTGGCTCATTAGCAACCATCAACTAACAAGGGTGGGTAATTTTCCTCCAATAATATCAAACATGCGAACACTTCAAGAGGCATAACGCGACTTAGAACACAAGGGTTCAAATGCCAAGATATATAAAAGTTCCTCCATCATATGATTTACCTATATGCACGCCGAGAGATTTGAAAGGAACGACAATTCTGCGTTTTCATATTTAATCTTACCATCTTACTTTATCTCATCATGTCTGACTATTGAAAGATTGTCTATCCTCTTCATTTTGCTACTCCAGCTCAGATTACCAGTCAGATCTTAGTTGAACTGTCAAAGGTCGTCTTGCCGCTACTCAACATGGTGACTTCAACAGAATATTTTGGGTTTGAATTCTACAACCTTGGGCCTTTGACAACCACCTTTACAGCACCATCATCTTGCACAACAGTAAATACTAAGCAAGTACACTTTGTGAACAAGAGTGCACCATACCTGTACCATGTAGGCCAGGCCAACTGCGATCATTGGACTCAGGGCAGCTGCCGACCGTCCGGTGTCGAGATTGACAGTGTTGTTTCAGACATCCGTCTTACCACTACTGATCCTGGACTTTTTTTATACTATCACTCCCCTGGCATTGCTTGCCCAGATGGTTGGGACACTGTGGGAATTATAGCCAAGTCTGACAGCACATTGTCAGTTTCTGGCTTCATGACAAATACGATAAAAGATTACGATAAGTATTCTACTTATTATCCTACATCTCAGTCAGATCAGCCACGATTTATGGATTTCACCGAGCTTTGGAATGGCATTCTTAAGCCGTCCGACACGGTAGCATTTTGCGGACCAACGTAAGTCTACAAGAACTCTCGTTTAATCTAAGGTTATGCTAATAATAGGATACAGTAGTGGCTACGAGATTGATCCGGCTGGGCGTTGTATTTCAACAATAGGAAGCTATTCCAAATATGATTATAAGACTTGGTGCTACGTGGGAATGGCATATGGAGGTAATCTCGAAGATGACCTGGTTGTTGTTTCCACAGTCCCCGGAATCACACATAAGCCTGGCCTGCTCTCCTGGGTTCATCAAGGAGTGAGCTATTCAAGTATTTTCACACGGTCTGAAGATATGACCGGATCTTGGGCTACGAATGCAGCTAGAGATTTTGCAGTTGTTACTACGGTCGAGGTACTACCTATTGTCTTCCAGAAGTCAGACTTGGACGCTGCCGCAGCAACTGCAACGATGACAGAGGAGTCTGTAGTTGAAAAGACCAGCGTTGGCACAGACGCTGCTGAGAGTACAGGTTTTGCGATTTCTAAGCCAGGACTTATACCAGTTTTTACTGTCTTGATTAGTATACTTGCGTCGGGTGGAATTTTCTCACTATGAGAAAAGTATAATGCCAGATAGTAGTTAACTTTTTAAGTTTCCCAACTTTAGTATTTTCAACCTCTAAGTTACAATGAGTTCAAGCTGTCTAGCAAGACTGGGCGAAATTTACTATGGTAAAAAACAACCCGTAGGTGTGGTAATCTATACCTCCTTCTCGTGACATCCACAGTGGAATTCATGTATACGCCATCTCTTCTGTTCCTCACTAGTCGTCCTAATAACATCGATACAGGCGGCATGGCCTGTCCAAGTAGGGAGTTTCTTATCAAATACCCATTGTGAGCTCGGGCCGACGATGGTTCCTCCTCTCCATCCAAGACGATCTGCATAAGATTGACTTCCCTGAAAATTCGAGTCCCTGACTCCGCGCCGCAGAAAATGGACCAGAATGTTGACCAAGAACAGCTTTTTCACATCTCTCCAATGTCATGATAAAATAGATCGCCGTTTCCAGATTGGTCCTGACAAAAGTTCCGCTTTGCAGATGAACTACAGACCTCATACCCTGAGTCGGCAGTCAGCGCAGTAACACAGACATATAACATGATTATCAATTGTCTTGATTCTGTAAAGGAAGACAGTGAATGGTGTATCAAAGTGTCAATCGTTAAGGCTATCATGATAATTATTCCACCAGAAAGCTACGCCACCTAGGACGAGTAAAATGGTTGGTTTGCTCAAGGTTTTGGTCATGGCTACTGGCATGAAAAAGGGTCTCAGCGCACCAATTGCCTTCACTTTGATCAATTATAAAGCCAAGGTAGTTGGATATACGGGTTTCGGTGGAATATCCAACGAACTCAGAAAATGACTCACACATTCACTGGTGTCATTGGGTTAAACTCAAGGTTTTACGAGGAGGCTCTTACCCTGAAGGTCAAATGATTTATCACGTGCCTGTTGCCAAGAAGCAAAGCAACAATCTCTAGAAGTTTTAGTGATTTGTTTATCTTGGGTCGCGAGATATGCTTTTGTAAGTGAAAAGCTCAATGGCTCCACATCTAGCCACGTTAAGTGAGGAAGAGATATCGGCCAGTACAGACAGTATTTATATGCTAGACTATATACTTTGGTCTTGAGATAGTAAAGGAACGTTCCTAGATCAAAGAATAACACCCACTAATAAAGGCTGTTCACTGCCCTATCAGTCTTTTGCTCAGTTGTGTTGTGAAGGCCAGTGTAAATATCCAGTCACTATCGAGAATACTCTAGCATGCTTCGATTATGTAAACGGACTCAAGATGAAATGGCGATGTCAGCACAAGTCAAATAAACCTGGGGAGTCTGGAACGAGTTCCACTTGAAAGACAGAAGTGTATGGTTCGAGACGTAGTCTGGGATCTTGATCTTGCCAGAGACGGTGTAACCACCCGCAATAGATGTGTAGCACGAGTTGATTGGTGCATTGTCGACACCTCGGCATCCCTTGCCATCCGAGTCTCCTTGGAAAGATTTGCAGGTGAACCAATCGTTGCGATGGCATGGCTGATCAGCCGAACAATCAGGACTATACCCACACTCCTGACCATTAACGTCGGTACAGGGAAGGAGGCCTTCTTCGAAGCAATCTTCAGCAGCTTGCTTCTCAGCTTCGGTGGGGATGTAATTTGGGTCGAGGAACTTGTCGACGATATCCTGATCTTGACAGATACGGTAGGCGTACATGCCTCCGTGGTCACCGTTGTTGTCAACACACCATTGCACGTCAACAACTTGGCCAGGCTTGTAGGTGGCGATGGGCTCTTTGCCCCAGTTAGCACCAGGTTGGTTGTAGTCGACGCTAACTCGGGCGTTATAGCCGCAGGGACCCGTTCGTCCGACTTTGGCGGAGTCGAGGTCTGGCCAGGCAGTCACGGGCTCCAAGATGGTACACTCGGGGCACGTATCTGGACCGGCCTTTCACTTGTTAGCTAAGTTTATGGAGAAGGAATAGGGCTAGTTACCTCGGCGTTAAGACCGGTTCGGCTCATGGGCTTACTGAGGTAGCCATGTCCATACGCTAGGGTGCACATGGAGACAAGTTGGAGAGCTTTGAAGGTGAACATGTTGATAGATTGTGGATCTTGTATTCTTGGGCGAACTGGTGTGTCTGGAGCTATTGAAACCGTTGAATTTGTCGAGGTCATTGGTGCTTCTTATACCTGCTGCGTCCTTGCTCCCTCATAAACCTTTCTCGCTGATGAGGAAGATCTTTGCCATTTTCTCTCGTTCCGAAAATTCTGTCAGATGGAAAGATTCACTTCTTGTTTCTGAAGCTATCTCAATCATTGCCATCACCCTCGGCCATTAAGCGGAATATTGGTTTCTTAGAATAAGGTTGTTCCACCTATTGTGTTACTCCGAGCCCTGCCAACTAATGTCAAACATGGTCCTTTAGGTTCATTAGTCAGTATTCGGCGCTTCATTGCAGCCCTTGACTGGGAAAACGGTGTATCGTGACAATTTTGATAACATGTTATTATTATAAACTAAGCCAAATGTCTCCTTTAGCAAGGAAAATAGGGTTGCATTGATCGATCACGGCCCGAATATATGTTTTGAAAGGACAAATGCCAAGACTGCCTTGCATAAACTCATCGGCTGTGACCGTTTTGGGGTCGTTGGACCTGAACATCAGGCGGAGACTCCGCCTAAACCTGGGGATTTCGGAGACTTTCCGCTACCCCAGTATGATCTGCATTGACCCATGATCAGACTCTTCCGAGTGCTTGAAGCGAGGACTCGACAACAAAACCTGGCTTAACTGAGATTAGCTAGAGGATTAGCCAGCTGCTACAAACTCGATCGTAGTGTCTATAACTCTAGCTCCAGTGATTCTCTACAAGGCCACCATCCATAAATCTGGCAACAGCCGTATACTAACTTCAAGATTACCGAGAGCCCTATGGCACTTCAAAGATGATTCTATTCTGTATGCGCTACGGCTCCTTCCGAATACCCCGCGTTTTTGGTCGATCGTCATGGGTCGGCGATATGTCGGCCACTCTTTAACATTCGGCCCTCAGTCGGGGATCTAACCTCATATGTTTGTCTCGAGGTTTCTGATCTACCCAGAATAGTAAACTGATTAAACCAACAGTGCGGCCTCAGTCATACAAGTTTTTGTTTGAGTGCTGATGACCAAGGTCGCCCAACCATTGATAACGTGGTCACTTTCGTCAGATCATACAAAGAATTATTGTAGCGTGAAATTATATGCCCAGATCAATCATCACATTTCATAGAACATCAGACTCTAGCTGTCAACAGGAAACATTATTTGCCAGGCCACCGCAGTTTAAATAGACTTCAACTAGTACCTCGAGTAAGTTTTATACCTATACTTATATAGTTGAAGTAATTAACAATATTTAAAGTACTTTATCTTTGTGATGTGAATTCGCATTTTGTCGACTCTGTTGATCTATACTCCCAAATACTCCTTGTCCTATCATCCGTCTCAAGAAGTCTATGGTCATGCAAAGGCTTAGATCAGGAGAGCACAAATACCCATGTCCTCCATCGATTGTCTTGCACTCCAAAGTCTACTCGGGTCTCGCCTTCTTTGCTCCCAAGCATTCTTCATAACACTATATACTGTGCCGCAGTTAGTAAACCCCGCCTCAGCGTGGTCCATAAGCTTCTTCAATAAATCATCGAAGTACTGCTCGTTGGGAGGAAGTGCCATGCAACCCGCAACGCATAAAGGCCATGGCATTGCTCGTAAAGAAATATGTGGGGCTAAGCTGTTTAATACATTGACGACTCGTAATACTGCAATGTGAGGATCTGATGATGTCATGCCATTTTCAGAGGCAAGAGCATAAAGCTCGACAAGAGCTGCGGCTGCAAAGAGGTGGGTTACGGAGCGGTTGGTCGGAGTCAACTGTTGGGACCGATTAGCAAACACTCATTCGCAGGATAGGAGTACAGACTGTTGATGCATCATCCAACGCCGCGTCTACTCCATCCAGGATGCGCTTCTCTAACCCCCTGATGGCGATTCTCAAACTATTACTGCCCAGTGTGCTAGCTTCCGAGCTCAAAGCCATCATGTCACCAATTGCGATCATGATGCAGTTTGAGCAGCCCATGACTCTTGACATGTCAATCCTACCAGCGTTGAGCCAGTCATGGTATGGCAGTTTCGGTGCAGTTCCCGTAGCCAGTGGTGCAAGTATGTCTATCCAGACAAGATTCGACAGAATGAATTTTTGCGCAGTATTCATCCCTCGTTGAAAATCAAAGTCGGAACTCGAAGGGTTGGACGCGTCGAAGTCAAAATCGGAGGAGGTAAGGTTCTGAATAACAGATACGAGAGCGTTAAAGTGGGCTTGCCAGTGTTTTGTGCCGCCTTGAAAGACCTGAATCGGATTAGAGTACAGTCGAGTACGCATAGGCCGCAACATTACCTCGAAAGAGATCAAGAACATGCCGCCAGCGAGAAACTTGAGCCATTCCTCGATGTTGTCGGCGGAAGCGCCAACATCTCGATGGCGGACTACATATCGCAGTTCTTGAAGTGCTTTGGTATGGTATTTTAATAGCTCATCCTCTTGGTTTTCCGTATGGTATGGTGAGAAGGTATGTTGATGGAAGGCAGAAAGAGTGAGTGCTGCGTTGCGAAGTGGTGCGTCTATGAACTAGTCAGAAACCAAGTGCTACACGGGACAAAGATTCCTTACTTCGCTCGAGAAGGAAGAAGAGCCAACCTCTGCCACCTTGATCTGGTGCATCGACATAAAAGGCATATTGAATCGGAAAGATGTAGTCGAGGTAATGTACCAAGTACTGCGCCTCCCTAAATATGATATTTGTTGTTGAAGAGCCGGTTGGAGTTTGATTGGGGACTTCGTCACCTCGCGACTGAGAACTTGGTTTAGCCCGCGAGGCTTGTGCTCCTTCAGCCGTCAATCGAGCAAGTTGACGATTCTGTATTGTTTTGACGCGTCGGAAATTCTTTTTCACTGCACCTTTGATCCGTCGAAGCTCTTCTTGTAGTAACTGATCATTGTTCATCCATTCTGGTGGATCGATGCCATATCCATGGCAAGTGATACCTCGAGTACTGCATTCTTTGCATTCAGGAGATGACTCGTCACATTTTCTGTGACGAATGCGACATGTCCAACATCCCCTCCGTCCTCGGGGCATGATCTGCTGTTGTGGATTTTGACAAGTTCGGAATTGGGCATGCAAGGTGGGAATTTAAGCGACGTGCAAAGAAGTGGATCGAGAGTGCTTTAAATGGTCTTTTCAGTGGATCGACTAAACCGATTCAGGACCTATCAACATGACTGTTGCGCTAGGTCCGGTCGGTGCTACCGTTAAGATAGTGACAAGAGACAACGTCTGAGCTTTGTACGACAAATGCCGACATTCTGAAAGCACTGATCTATCTCTGGTACTTAGGTACTGATAACAATTCATGGCGCGCAAATGAGTTTAGTGTGAGAAACCCAGGGAGCTCCGATCATCGGGCTGCTAGTAGCTCCAGAGATTGATTTAGGTGCTGACGTTCAGGCGTGAAAGACCGGGGAACATGGCTTGGAAAGTGAAGCATGCGGTATTTATACCATACAAGGAAACAAGAAAGTTTATTTATTGACTAAAGTAAGGTGTAGCCGTATTGAATGAGCCCAAATAGCAATTCCCCTAAGAATGCTTGAATGACCAAGGCTCAAGCCACATTGCAGGAGAAAGGCCTACCAACACTGCCGCCATTGAATTTTGCAATCTGCGATCATGTTAGCATAGGATCAAAGTCAGAGCCATAGTTCACCTACGATCTGGTCAATACTGGCATATGTGCCGGCAATAAATACAAAGAAACCCACGATAAATACAATGCAATTACAAGCCGCACGCTTGACATTGTGCTTATCATACCAATTCCCCTCCTTGAGAAGGAAGAACCACATTATGGGAGGGATCCAGAATGAAAATCCCGAAATAAAGAGCGCGGCACATATTCCCAGAAGCTCAGAGAAAAATGGGATTGCTTCTGCGATAACCCATGAGAGGAAGATGACAAAGGCAACGACGGCCAACCAAGTGATCCAACCTTTGCGAGTATTAATAAACCTAGTAATAGTGTTCTGGTAAAGTCGACCGTGGATGAACCTGCAAGCAACCGTGGCATTGATCGATCCTGAGATATAAATGACTGGCAAGGCGATGCCAAATGCGACTTTCGACACAAGCGGGCTTGCGGATAATAAGGCAGGGGACTGAACTTCCTGACCTACGAACGCATAGATAACTGATCCTGTAATTGTATACAGGATGATTTCGGTCAGACCTAAAGTGATAATGGATTTGGTGAAATCTGCTGGCGTATGCATTTCGGACATGAAGGAAAACTGGGCAGCAGCAAATGCATACGAGAAGACGATGTTGGACACGGCAGTAAGGGCTTGTGTAAAGCTCAAATCTTCTTGTGGCCACGCTGACCAAGTTGACGAAGAGAAGCCACCTGGGGCATCAGATCTCTGAATACCGGTCGCGATCATAACGATACCGATCGCAAGGATGATGGAAATAAAGTCGATATAACCGAGGATCGCAATCTCTGTGAACGAAGGCGGGATTGCCAAGATCATAAGGATGATAGCAGAGATGACTCCGAAGCTGAGTTTACATATACTGCTGCCTGTGATCTTGACCAGCGCAATTGTGCCGGTTAAGCAGTGAGAGCCAGTAGCTAGTATCAACAGACCCAAAAAGACAACAGCGAATAGCTTATCGCCAAAGCCCCCCATCAAAAGTCGACCAGCATCGACATAATGATCAATATCGGGATATTTAAGCTTGACAAGGCCAACCATGTAACTAGCATACATGGCGATGAGGCCAATTCCAATGCAGGATATAACACCAGCGACCATTCCTAGGGTAGCGAAAGCTCCGGGGAGACTTAGACTGCCAAGGGCAATAGCCTGCACGATGAGGACAACGGTAAGGCGCTTCCATCCTAGGCGGTGGAAATGAGCGTTGCCTTGAATGGCCTTTTCTTTCTCGAGGTCTGTTTGGAACACTTGGGCTGTGGCTTCGCTGAAGGATGCTTGACGGTGGATTTTGTCTTGCTTTTCGCCCTCGACGATGATTTCGGAGTCGTTTGTGGTTTTTGGATGACTCATTGTGAACGAAGATAAGAATTGGAATATATGAGAGATGACTTGAGGTATAGAGAAGGTTGAAGAGATGAACAGCCTGGCCTGGGAGGATGATGTCTATTATATCCTCAATAAGGCGTCGTCATATCTAATCCCTTGGACCGATAACCCCATGGGGAAGAGCCTGAACGTGCGTGAGCTCCACGCGATGAGGGTTTTTCGATCATCGTCCGTCATTAGACTCTGGGAATTATCAGGCATGATGACTGATTGACCAATTCCCAGTTTGAGTGGGTTATCAGACAAGCGAGCATGGGCCCTTAAGCCATTGATTTCCGACCCAGTGTTAAGCGAGTGGTGATAGGAAGGGCGGGATAGTGTGTGGGTGCTTGTTGCTATAGGGCGCGGCTTGAAGGAGCATCGGGAGCTCATACTTGAAGCCAACAGTTGACTCTATTTTGTATAGACCCAGTGCATCACAAATTCAGCAGTCTAGATGAGGCTTGCTCAATGAAATGAGTCAACTTGATAAGAATACCGTATCCTCAGCTTCTAACAACTGCCTGATGTTTTTGATATTGCAGTGATATCCACTACCTCCATTTTGAAGAATCTGTTACTAATAGATAATGTGAGACTCTAATTCCGTATTAAGATCAGACACAGTCGGAAATGGGAAACGTTGGGGTTTCGTTTTGAACTAACAGCCGAGTCAGTGCGTTATCTCAGTGACAATGCTAATTGGATAAACGGCTGAGCCGACAACTTTATTATGGAGCTATGGGGACTACACACTGGGAAGGAAGCTCGGAATTCAATTGGGGTAGTCAGACGACTAGGATAAAAGTTGATCGCAGAGATACGACCCTCAACCCCCCAACATCATAACATTTGTTCATCTTCAAAATTTCTTTGGACAAGACTTTTTTTCATATCGAGAGACATCATCACTAGCTATTTTCTCTCCAAGACAATGGCCAAAACATTATTCGTCAATGGCCGGATCCTGTCCAAGACAGAGACAGGTCTCAGTGGCAACGCTCACTTTTCAGACTGCATGCTCATCCAAGACGACAAAATCGTCGAGGTCGGATCTCGCCATGACATCTCCCAGAATCTAAGCTCAGATGTCCAGATTCACGACCTTGATCAGCGTGTCGTTCTTCCCAGCTTCATCGACGGTCATATGCATCTTCTCTTGCTCGGCCAGTCGCTTCGAAAGCTTGACCTATCACGGTGCACTTCACTTGATGATATCCGATCCTGTATCCGAAAATACGCGGCGGAGAACCCAGATACGCCAACTATTCTTTGCAAAGGATGGAGACATTACATGACGCCGGATGGGGTTACAGCTGCCATGTTGGATGATCTTGACCCGCGACCCATCTTTATTGATGCTGGTTCTTTACATTCTTGCTGGTGTAATACTGCGGCGCTGAGAGAACTCGAGGTTGATGATATCCCAGATCCTGCTGGCGGCAAGATCTATCGTAATGCGGATGGAAAACCATCAGGCCTTTTGGACGAAGGAGCCATGATGTCTATCAGTGGGTGCAAGTCCAACCACAACCATTTTGAACCCAATATCTGACCGATGTTACAGTTTGGCCATTTCAAGCAAAGTCATCACCGAAGCACGAACGAATAGATGCGATACGCGCCGCTGTAAAGGAGTATAATGCTGCAGGCTATACTGGCGCAGTCGAAATGGCCATGGACGAAGAAGCATGGGATGCACTCGTGACACTTAAGATGATAGAACCAAACCTGTCATTACGAGTTTCAGCCTATTGGCTTATCAAACCAACCGCCAACCTCGATGAAAACTCAAAACAAGTTCAACGAGCTATCGAGCTGAGCAAAAAGTACAACTCGACAACAAGTCCTGACCTTCGACTTGTCGGAATCAAGGTCATTACTGATGGAATTATTGACGCATGCACTGCTTACCTCTCCGAGCCGTATGCTACAGCTGGAAGCCCGCCACCTATTTGGGAGCCTGAATTCCTCGAGCCTGTAGTCAGTGAGGCAGATGCTGGCGGTTTACAAATTGCCTTGCACGCAATCGGCGACGGTGCGGTCAGAATGGCCATTGATGCTATTGAGAAACATGCTACACCGGGCCGAAGGCACAGAATCGAGCACTTGGAGCTCGTTTCCCCAGAAGACGCCAAGAGACTCGGAAAGCTTGGGTTGACAGCATCTATCCAACCTATCCACGCGGACCCCACAGCACTGACAACATGGCCTGAACTTCTCGGAGAGCGATATGAAAGAGCGTTTGCGTATCGAGAGTTCGCCGATGCGGGTGCCTTGATGGCGATCGGTACAGATAGTCCTACGTCACCGTGGTCGCCTATGCATAATTTCCATGTAGCCATTAACCGGCAGTCTTCGAAGAATCCAGAAAACCCCAAGGTAGTACACGAGCACTTCAGATTAGGGTTGTGTGAGACTTTCGTTGCGGGTACAGAAGGTGCAGCTCGAAGTGTATTTGCTGAAGATCGTGTTGGGAGCTTGGCACCAGGAAAATTGGCGGACTTTATTATTGTTGATATGGAATGGGACCCTAAGACTTTGCTCAAGGCTGAGGTGAAGGAGACTTGGTTTGGGGGATCTTGTGTATTTTGATTAGAATTTATTACCTTGTAGGGTAATCGGCAGCGTGCCCAAAGCCGGTAATTAGGTAAATAACTTTTGTCTAGTAGTACTAATTAAACTCTAAAACTTAGAGAACCAATCCATGTTTGACGATCTACATCGATAAAGCTCCACTATCATGCCTCAATTGTAAGGAACCAATCTTCTTTTCCATATGCAAATAGGACAAGTTCTCCCATGTGCTTTGACCTTGTCCTCCTTTTGCCAAGCTGTCAAAACCACTATTATTGGAAACCCACGCCCTACCAAGGCCAGTAGATCCTTTAAAGCAAAGGTATCTCTTTCCAAACACGTGGTTTTTTTCTTTCTTCAAGCTTGGCTAAGCTCGTATAATGCTAGTCGGCCTCTCAGGTCCCTTGATCCTAAGATTGATAAAGCATAGCACCAAGTGTTGTCACGAACCAGAATGGTAACCCGGCACGATATATCGCGCTAGTTAATATTAATGGCCAATGTGTCAATCCAAGTTTGGCAATAACCTCCACGTTTGTCGGTCCGGTAGGTGCTGAGATGCCTGGATTGACATGCCGAGTTATATTTGTTTGGATGTCTTAAGGCCCTGTATCGATCTTTCGCAAGTAGACAAGTCGAGGCAGAGTGGTCTTCGATGCTGTCAATTATTTACACAAGTTCCCACTTACCTTGCGCTTTTGGACATTTAGAAGTCACTGCGTTACGGAAGTCGGAGACGCCGATGCGACTGGACATGATTTTGATGCTCAGGTCCTCATTTTGACATGATCAATTAAGAAGTCCATGTACGGCGGTCGGCGCAAAATGCGACCACTCATTATTCCGGAACGCAAGATATCTGGGATAGAGCTCAACAACTCAATAAGAGAAATATTATCTCTCGTGATAAGACGTCCCTTGATCCCGCGTCTGTCATGTGTTACAAAGTAAGATCGTGACATTATTAACAAAGCCCGCTATTATAACCACAGCAGAATGCGAAATCTGGTACTTACGTCAAGAGAATATAGCAAGACTGTGTCTGCAATGGATAGTAGCGCAAGTATGTGGCAAAGACGTCTGGATAGTTTTCTTACCTTGGCAGTAAACACGACTGATTGGAAGTCGTTATTAGTAAAATCACAAAACTTCAGCTCGCCAGGGATACTCGTCGTCAAGACCTGCCCAGTCTAAAATATGACAGCGGTGGCTATGTACAATTTAGGTGAACCGTTAAACTACTCTGCTAATGGAGGTAGCCTAGCATTTTATAAGATCCATTGGATGAAGTATTGCCATTTCTACGGTCATGAGCCCTGACGAGGATCCCGAGTACAGACTGGGCTATCATCGGGTATGCCAGGGTCTTCTTGCCAAATCATGCGGCCAAAATAGTTGACCCATTAAACTAAGTTCTAAATTCCACTATCGATGTCCGATGAAACTCACTTCCGACAAATTCCAAATCAACCTTCCTATTCCAATTGATAAAACGGCAAACGTCCCATAGTTTTCCACTTCAAGGCAAGATAAACGACGTCTTGGCCATGAGGAAACCTTAAAGTGCGGCTTTGTCACACTAAACTGACAGGTTATGTCAAAGCACCTGGTTGACACTAGACTAGTAAATTCAATAAACTTGGCATATGACTATCAATCTAGGCACTCTGCGGCTACTCGGGCCTTTTTCCATAAGCTCCTTGGGTTGCTGGAGAACCTTTTAGGCTGCCTTGATGGCCTTCGGATGTCCATGTATAAATGACCGAGCTATTTCTAGCTAAGATGTCTCTGGACAGAAAATGTCTCACTCTTTTTAACAGAACCGTACACAATGGCCAACATTCCAGCCAATCTTGCAATATCACTACCCACGTTAGTTGGCTCTATACTTTCTTGTACTGCGAGCTTTCTCGCTCTTTGCCTTCATGCGATTGTTCCTCCACCACGACGTCATTTCCGGCATGCACTGATAGTCAACCTGCTTGTTGCAGGTATGTATCGAAAAATCAAATGATACGATATTCGTGGCTGACCTGGAGTCTGAAGACTTTATTAACAGTCTCAATAACACGATATCTGGTATCCTCGTTCTTAAGAATGGTTACGACGACCCGAAAGCCCCTCCCAACAATGCCTGTCTGGCCAATGCCTGGGTCGGTCAATTTTCAGTACAAGCTATCGACTTCAACATTTTAATCATATCCTTATCAGTATTACTAGCCGTTCAGAGACAGCAGATCCTTGATGACTCGTCAAGGATGATGAGCGTCATCATTTGTGTGATAGCATGGATTCCTGGCACAATTACCAGTAAGTCCTTACTTGGCCCTACCGGCTGATTTCTTTCTGAATAAGCATCCAGGCTTTGTAGGACTCGGTCTCGGCATATATGGTCCAGTAAGTGGTAATTGGTGCTGGATACAGTCCCATCATCTTGGCCTCCGCTATGGCCTCACACACGCTTGGCGCATTGCTATCTTCCTCGCAACAGTCGCCATTTACACGTACATATATATCAGGCTTCGACGTTTGTTCAGCTCTCTCAAAGATGGCTTCCAATCGTCTACAACCCGGGGAGACACCATATACATGCGATCGAGAATTGATCGAGATAACACTGAGCCGTCCGATACTCAGCGAATTTGGGTCACAACTACTGTCGCAGCTTCATATGAACTGGAGTCCCTAGAGATATCGAAGGGAGATCAGGGGGGTTCAGTGTCGAGTGATGGAAAAGTACAGTGGTCAGCATGTGCGGCGCCCGAAGCTCCTTCACCCGAAGCCCCATGTACCAACCACACTCAACAATCGTCAAACCCCCCTGGACCATACAGACACGGACCAACATCACCGAATCTACGAAAAATGCTTCTTCTGAATGGATATCCTATCGCGTACATTATTCTCTGGATACCGGGTATGGCGAACCGTTTGGCTGAGTCAGTAGGCACTTCACCGAAATGGCTCACTGGCCTCCAAGCTTGCACGCAATTCGTAGGACTAGTCAATGCTTTGACATATAGTTTCACAGAGCAGATGCAACGTGCGATACAGATGTGGATGAAGAGGCGAAGCTTCCGGACACTTGATCCATAAAGGCGGCATGTTTCTTATATAACAGTAGTGGAATTCTATGACAACTAATATATTCGAAGTTTATGCTACTTAGAATTCTTTTTCTAGCTTTTTAAATGCAATTATTATCACTTGGGAGTTCTTTGAGCGGTTATGCTAAATGTCGCAGTTCATTTTCGCTTGTATCTACGACCCTGACATCTGCCCTCGTGCCAACATGTAGTTGAATCACTCGATTGTGGCCATTCCTAAATACTGGATGTAGTTTTGTGCATACATTATTATCTGCGTCATGAGGATGGCTCTGTGTTCAAGACATTGGTAGACATGTTCGATAGACTTATTGGTGCTTGCAATACCAAGTGGCGGCTTTCCCTCGATACTCCTTTCGTTGATGTTAGTCGTATTTCTAAAAGATAGAGTAATACCTTTCAATCGAGGCTCTATCGCATGGTCGAGGCACTTTTTGTCCTTGGTTCTAATATCTTTCCGTCGACCGATGCAGTCCAGTGATGCCACGAGGGACTGTTTTATTATAAAATATTTATTTTAAGCCTGGTTTCTTCTAGTTAGTTGGTAGTAAAAGTCGACCCCGAGTGACAGGTGCTGCTTGCCCAGACAACAGTACCGACAGTATCCCATCTCCACAATCGTTCAACAAAATATCTACAATGATATTGCTGTCTCTTCCAATTTCGGAACCTTGATCTAGGAAAAATCGATATTTCCCACTTGCACTTCCGTCTTGTAGTGCGAGATACGCGGCTAGGGAACAGCCACCGCTTCCGCAAGCAGGATCTTCGAGATTGATAGCTATCATGCGCACACGAAGATCAAACACCTTCCGGCCGTCCTCATTTTGTTCGTTTAGAATGCGATAATACATGACACCGACGAATGAAGGCGCCCACTGATCATCCAAAGGCACAACAGGAGAGGGGCCAGGTTGTATGGCGGTGAAATTGTCGGGTTGGTTTGTAAGATTGACGAGAACATATGTGACCCCCTGAACGATAGATATAGTTGGGTGTGAGTCTTGAATATCATTCCAAGTCAAACTAGGCTGGGTACGAGCGATGTTTTCCTTAGGCGCTGGCGTTTCGTGAAGATGTACGTTGTGTGGAACCTGGGCAGTAACTGTTTGTCGCTCCGAATCATACTTGAGACATACAGTTCCCGCGTTTGTCTTGACATTCATGGTACTTTGAGTTATTGGGTCCGCGGAGGCCCCAGTAAGAAACTGACGAAAAAGAACATGGCCGCCTCCAATGACGGGGTGCCCAGCAAACTCCATCTCGTTGACAGGGGTAAAGATCCGGATCTGGGGCATCCCATCTGTCTGTGGCTGGCATATGAAAATGGTTTCAGAGAAGTTAAATTCGCGCGCAATCTCTTGCATCTGCTGTGATGTGAGGTCTGTGTTGGTATCGTCGACAACGGCGAGCTGGTTGCCCTTAAACCTAGGAAGCAATTTGATTAGCAGATGTAAGTTTGATATATTTGCGCCTTACCTCTTGTTGGTGAAAACATCAATTGTCACTGTAGATACATGTCAGAAACATAACAAGACCTTCTTTGTAGCATAGGCATACCGTAAGAAGTTTCCAGTGCAGACATGTTGACGATGTGGTAAATGGTACAATAGGCTGCTTTGTTATCCGGTGAGGGGTTGAGAGTGTGAACCTGGGATTATGCGGCGGAATTTAGAATAAACTTATACGAATTAACCTGTTTTTAAATCAAATGTTTCGTATCAAGTTTAAAATGCTTAAGAGGCGAGACCGCTTAAGCATGTCGATTGACTCAGCTTTCCAAACATGCGTCTTTTTCTAAATGGGTATGATATAAGGATGTTACACCGATTACCCCGATCGCTCCGAAAAGGATTCAGATTGCTCAGCAAGATCAGGACAGTAACTTTCTATTCTAGGTTTAGTAACCCTGCCTCGCTCCATGGTGGAACAGGTCGGCTTAAGTTTGGACAAACTTGATAACCTTTTCTTATATCAATTAGTATGTACTCCGATTGGACAAAATGTCTCACCGACATGTTCGTTATTCATCTTAATTTGTTCATAACAACGCAAGCGTTGGCCACACTCTCTACAGCAATCAACGTGGGGCTTGCCGCTTGTGAACTTTGCCGGCTATCTAGGCTGGTATGAGTGACTAACTTGCAGCCGATATCGCAATGAAGATCAAGATGTAATCTGTGAACAGAAAACGGGTTCGCTATAGAAAGATCATAAAAAGTCACAGGAGAGACATGACGAAGTACGTGTCCGAGAACATACAAAACTACTATGATTGTTTGCTGATTCTGCGTTGCACTGTGACTAGTGTTTGTTTTTGCAGGCTACACCGATGCGTCGTCTAGCGCTTAGGCAACGTCGATGTCCTTGAGTTGGCCGCACTCTTTATGCCTTACAACTCCTTGAGATTCAAATCTATGCAAAGCCCAATGGATTGCTATTTCCATACGTAGGGTAGCGGGTATGCAGAAATCAGGCTATGGTGACGTACATCGCAGTAAGCAATTCGGCACGGAACGGAGTAATCGGAGTCGATGGAGTTAGTGAGACCCTCATGTATGTGATGTTTGTCAAGTCCCGATCATCGAGATGTGGATCTATTAGCGAAAAGCTGACAAGTGCTCTCAAATGCATGTCTTTAATTATCTGTAGCAGGGAAACACAACGAATAAGTGCACCACCATGCTGTACAAATTGAAAGGTCTACTGCGGTAATTTGTGATGATTTAAATTATAACCCAAATGATAAGCAAGTGAGGCAGCCAGCTAACCCTTAGCCGTAAGATACGCCTTCTTTTTTCATGTCTCGTTACTTAACGTGGAGATACTAGGAGAGTTTTAAAAATGGTTGCTTCACACAAAATGCCTTATGGGTTCCTAAATCCAGCTCGAAGTGGGTAGATTTGGATCTATATCAACTCGGTAAGTAGAATTCCGGGAACTTTATTCAAGCAGCTTACCCTATCCATATCCCAAACTCCAGAAGTTGTATAAATATCACTTTTAAATTGTTCGCGTGCTTCACCGAGGGAGCTGGCTAGAACAATGAATATGCTGCCATAGAAATCAAGGTTCTCGGGCTGGTCATCTTTGGAAACGCTGTTCAATTGACCACCAATCAGAAATTAGATAGTGCTAGTTCTGATCATAATCATGAAAGAATATCTCATACCGCCCATTTTCCAAATACCATTGTTTTTGAGTGGAACCACTCCTTCGAAATGCAACCTGAGAGTACGTTAGACTTGTTGAGGCACACAGCATCACGGGTACAGGAGAACATTAAGCGCGGACTTTCAGACGTTGCTCCCGTGTGCCAGGTTTGTCCGGTATAATGATCAGGAACTCATATTTACCCTCAGGGACTGGAACGGACAGAAGCATGGTACTATCTTTGTAAAGGATGATACAGATAGGAGGAGGAGAAATGAAGAAGGAAGTAAAGTGGCAGTTTGTTGCGGTCGGCACCAGATGTCAGAACTTTGTCAGAATGACGAGGTATTTATCCACCATTGGCGAGAAGCCTAACTCGGCGTCGCAACGATTCTATAGATTAAGGTGGTTCAATGATCGCCTTACCCACTCTGCTAAACCTTTCCATGTTTTTTAAGAGTAACGCGTATACCAAGCTGTCTATCCATAGCAGACGAAATCCAAACTCTAATTTACATGCCACCTCGAATTTAACTTGACTTACCGTTACATTCGCTACCAGATATTTCGCTGTTTATCGTATTTTGGTGCATGTGATAACACTAGACTTTCCATGCGGAAACTAAGATCCACAATGGTGCTGCCGTACGGCAGAAATTTACCCAGAAGACATCGCATAAGTACAACAACTGCTTCAATTCATGGCTCGAGAAGGGTCCTCTAGCTCTCTAAGATTCGTCTACAAACGCCGTGCAGTCCATTTCCACGTCTGTGCCAAGGGGCAATTGATGAATCGCAACACATGTACGAGCCTGTTTTGTTTGTCAAATATGTATTTATACAGAGGCAAGACAACAACATTCATAGAGATGGAAAGCGAGACTTACAAGTTTAGGAGTCCATGTGAAGAATTCATCGTAAGCCTCATTAACCAGGCCAAAGTTCTGCATATCCGTAAGGTAGATATTCACCTTAACAACATTGTGGAGATTGCTTCCTCCTGCCACAAGAGTGGCCTCGATGTTCTTCAAAGTTTGTCTCTTGTCTAAATATTAGCTCCTTTTCAACCATTAACCAACCTATAAAAACAATGGTACATACTGCGCGATCTTTGACCGTGCCTTCCACGAGGCTAAGACCCGGCCCGGGATTGAGTCCTGTATTCCCAGAGCAAAACAAGAAGCCGTTGCATTTGATCGCTTGAGAAAATTGAGGGAAGGGGCTAGGCGCTGTTGGCGTGGAGATTTCTGTCAACTTCGATGCCATTGTAGATTAAAAAATTGATTGCCTGTATTCTCTTGAATTAAGGATTTTGTGTTGTATGTTTATGTTGGATTGGAGACGCCTTATATAAGTACAATCACGTTAATGTCGGGGACTAAAAATGACGTAAGCTGATCGGAAATGACATCCCCTCATCAATCAAAAAGGCATTATTAAAAAAATAAAAAAAAGGTCAAAGCACTGAACAACTCTCGACCCTTATTAACCTGAACCATAATATTTTGCACTAACATCAAGTCTTTACAACACTGGGAAAAATTTGATACGGAGTAATCGGCTAGATCGGAGTGGTATGGGTTGACCTTCTCCAACCAATCGGGGTCTTATAATTAAATAATTAATTATGCGCGCTGAATCAATCCATACATATATAATGGAGCACAAGAGGCAACCAAAGACACAATTACAATTACAATTGCAAACCACTAAGTAATTCATACAAAACCTTATTTCAAGGCACTTTTACTCAAAAATGACAGAAACGGTCGACCTTGCCCAATACCTCTGGACACGGCTTGCTCAACTCAAAGTTGGTTCAATTCACGGGGTTCCAGGAGATTACAACCTCACTTTACTGGATGCAATCAAATCATCAGGCATCGGATGGGTTGGCAATGCAAATGAATTAAACTCAGGCTATGCTGCAGATGGCTACGCAAGGATCAAAGGCATAAGTGCACTTATCACCTCCTTTGGCCCTGGGGAACTTTCTGCAGTTAATGCCATCGGTGGCGCATATGCCGAGAAAGCCCCGATTGTGCATATCGTCGGGACCCCCCCATTGGTTGCCCAGCGAGCAGGCGCTTGCTTGCATCATTCCTTAGGCGATGGGAATTTCCGAGTGTTTGCGGATATCCAGAAATCAATTACCGTTGCTCAAGCAAACCTCAAGGATGTTTCAACCGCTCCGCAGATGATCGATGGAGTACTGAAGGAGTGTCTTCGTCATAGTCAGCCTGTATACATCGAGGTGCCAACAGACATGGTCAAAGCCCAAGTCCCAGCTCCCACTTCACTGCTGGATCTCTCTATTACCAATTACGACGAGTCATATGAGGATCAAGTCGTCGACACTCTTGTGACGCGCATCCAACAAAGCAGGAAGTCATTGATACTTGTGGACATGTTTGCTGGCCGTTTTGACATCAAGGATGAAATCAACGAGTTGGCCAAGCTGACGGGCATTCCCGTTTTGACAACTCCCGGAGGCAAGGGGATTGTTGGTGAAGCCTTGCCTAACTTCCACGGCGTTCATTTTGGTTCGGCAGGTACTACAGAGCATCACGCCTGGGCTAACTCTCGGGATCTGGTCCTTCGTTTTGGACCTCTTAATTCTGAAACCAACACTTTCGGATTCACAGCCGTGCCAAATCCACAAGTCACGATTACGTTCGACAAGTACGCTATCCATTGGGATGGGTGTAATGACGTTGATCGTACCCTCTCGCTGAAGTCTGCTCTCCAAAAGCTGTGCGAGCGACTTGGGTCCGTTCAACTCTTGGCTCCAGAACCCTACCCTACTGAGTGCCCTTCTTATGAAAAGATGCTGAAGGATCTCCCAACGCCCAAAGAAGACGATATGGTGGATCAATATTCTTTCTGGCTTTTTATTTCAAAGTTTATTCGCGAGGGTGATATAATCCTGACGGAGACAGGTACAGCATCCTATGGTGGTCAGAGCCTCTTTCTTCCCGATAACACCACCTTTATCAACTCGACAATCTGGCTTTCCATTGGATATATGCTCGCTGCTGCCCAAGGTGCCTCGCTGGCTCAGAGGGAAATGCAACAGGATGGTACTCGACCCCCAGGTCGAACCATTTTGTTTGAAGGAGATGGAAGTCTTCAGATGACTGCCCAATCTATCAGCGATATGATTCGAAACAAGCTGGATATTATCATCTTTGTGCTGAACAATCGCGGATATACAATTGAACGGATTATCCATGGTTTTGAGGAGAACTACAATGATGTGCAACCCTGGAGAAACTTGGAAGCACCTTCCTATTTCGGGGCACCTAAGAATGACCCGACATATCCTGTCAATACCTTTTTGGCTAACAACTGGGGGGAGCTCCAAACTGTAATACAAAAAACAGAACTTCAAGAGGGTAAGGGGCTCACTATGATTGAGGTTACTATGGATATGGCCGATGCTCCACAGTCACTGGTATTGTTTGTGCAGTATCTGATCAAACGAAATCGAGGAGAATGAAGGATTAATTGACAAATACTACTAGAACAAATTAGAAAAAGTCTGCTTAGATGAGGTGTTACAAATAAGAATATCAATCTGTCCTTTCTTTAATTTGGCGGGTTGTACTTGAAACTGGCGATGGGAAATTCCTGAATGAAGTATCCTCAGCTTCTCGCACTTTGCACTCGAACTTTTTGGCTGCGGCAAATCAGTAGCTTTCTGATCCAGCTTGTGGAGCCACAACATCGACGCGGTCATAAGGCGGGCTTATTTTTAAAAATTTGATAAATCAGCCCGGTTTCCCATTTTCAGCTTTTCCGTGTGTTCCTCCATGACGACGTCGAAGATTCTGTGAGCAAAATGAAGTTTCTCATGTAGTGCTTATAAAATGGACACGTTCCCGATAGGCATGCTAAAACACACCGTCCCTACTATCGACAATAACGAAAAGCCAGTGAAGTGCAATAGAGAGCTCGAATCACTAGTTGAGGGCCACTCCAGTCGATCGAAAAAATAACTAGTTTCAATAATTACTTTTAGACACATTAAGGCCACTAGATCATTTCACGTCGAAAACAGATAATTCCCATCACAATCCTAACCTAGAGTGAAGTCTCGGTTGTGAAGTGACTAATCATTGTGTAGCGGATTATGTATTATTCCGGTGTTTAGGGAGTTTTTTTACTTGGCTCGATGGCTGAATCACTAATGACAACATTCCCTTACACCTAATGTCAACCAAAAATGCCGAAACATATAGGCCAGCGTAATATGAGCGCACGTCTTGCAGCATGTGACCCATGTAGACGTTCTAAGCTTGCTTGTAGTCACGAGAGACCCGTGTGTGCAAGATGTCAAGCCCGAGGCCAAGAAGCTGGCTGTATATATCGAAACCTACCGTTTAAAAGAACAATACCTGACAGTGACCGATCAAGGTAAGCCAAGAGATTAACAGTATTTAAATAACACTAAGTATTACAGGCGCCATCTATCACCGATGCCTACTGTTGCAGTATCTACACCAGCCGAGACACCTTCACCAGCAACGCACCGGTATCCCAACCCGGGCTTCCTTGGTCAATCCAGTCATTCAACCATTTTTGCTCGAATGGCCAACAGCACCCATAATGACGGGAAATCAAATTTACTACAAGACTCGGTTTTCTTTGAGTGCGGCACTGAGAGGCCCCTACCGGACGAGTGTCCAGACAATATAGACAGAGTCCGCTAGTTGTTAAAACACCTCCTACAACTCCAGGTCACTCAATTACGCATCCTCATACAGAGTTGGAATGCATCAGGGACTAACTTGGCTTTGGCAGAGCCGCTTACCTCGCGGTTTTCTGATGCGGCGGTCGCTTTTTGGCTGCAATGGAGCACAGGCCCAAGTCCAGAGCCATCACAACAAAAGGCCCAATGGCTGCTAAAGAACAGTCGACAACCAGTCAATTTAACAGAAACATCAAGCATTCAAGAATTCTTTAGTCAGACCCTCGGTGATAATCTGAAGCTCGAAGTACTGGGCATCTTCTTGACCGCAGCGTGTCGAGCAGTCATGGATACCCCATCGTTTACGCCACTTTACATATCGCACCAGGAAAGGGTGACCTTGGCCAAAACCTTGATGTTTATTGGAGACCTCTGTGTCGAGTCATGTCTATCCCTTGATAGTCTCAATGATCTTCAGCTTGTTTTGCAATATGAGAACATGATCATACATACACAGGTCGATGGAGATCAGAGTACGTGCTCATAGTGCGGATCCGTTTTATATCATTGGATCAACTAACAGGTTGAGCCTAGGCTACCACTCGTGGAGAAGGATGGGAGATGTCAGCAGCAGTCTTTTTGCGCTCGGATATCATCAAATACCCGATACCTCAACGGCTCCTCCATTCATTACACAGTTACGTCAGGCGGCCTTTGCACGAATTTATACCGCTGATAAGATGCTTGCAGTATTTCTTGGTCGGCCACCCCGGATAGCTCGTGAATACTGCACCTCTGTGCTACCTTCGAATGATTCGAACTTATGGCAGGACGACACGCCTACTACTAATTTAAACGCCAATTCGCAAAGTGTATATAATGCCAGAGAGCCCTTTAACCATATGGCCGATACCAGATGCCGTGGGAGATTTTCATTTCTGAAGGAAGATATCCTAATATTCGCTCGGCGGAAACCTCCTTCAGACCTGGACAATTCTAGTAGTGTTAGAGCAGCGTGAGTAAATTCAATGACTATTGGGAGTAATTTTAACAATGATAGGCAAATCTTTAAGAAGATCGAAAATGCTTGGGATATTCTACCTGAGCATTTTAAGTTAACGCAGAGTCTTAAACTCAGTGACGCCGCCCCGTTCTCCAATGACCTTCTTATCGGAATCCGTTTGGACTATCTGCATACTCTTTTCTTACTTCACCTTGCGTCCTCACGACAATTAGAGTACCCAGGAAGAGACTTGTTAGCGATAGCAGGGGAGATGCTTTCTAGTGTCACTGAAGCAATCATGTTACGTGATAGGCTTGTCAATTCGGGTACATCTCTGACATGGAAGGTGAAATCTTAGCATAAAACTCCGTATCGATGCTGAGCTAACAGACAGCTTGTTAGGTTGCTCAGTATGGCTTACCCGCAGCCGGAATTATATCTTTGTCTCTCCTGAACCTCCCAGCATATGACGACTGGGCTGGACAACGGACCAAGTGTATTCAAGATCTCAACATCTTGGTTGCGAAACTCAAAGTTGGAGCTATTGTCAGGGCAGGCGAGGCGAACTTTGCGCTCTTTAGTCGCGCAACAAGGACCATGCAAAGCCTGCTCAACACTTTAGCCGATGGTACTTCTTTCAGAACCCAGCAGACGCAAACTCAAGACTCCGATAATAGGAATCTGGCTAGCGATCTAAACTTATTCGCTAATCTTGAACCGTGGGATTTCGAAGTTGACTTCTGGGCTAGTCTTGCGGACCACCCTGGATTGAATATGCACATAAACTAGTATCTCGTATGTATATTGGAATCTTATTATCCGCACATCAATGGCATATATCCAGAAATTTCAAATCTGGAACAAAGCTGCAATACGCGCCAGATATGGTCCTTCAAGTAGTTTTACTGCGACAGGTATATTAGCTTGAATGAGATCACGGCTATATATTTGCCTAGTGATTTGTGTATAAGCTTGTTGTTGCTATAGAGAACAGTGGTATAGCGTTGTTAATTGTCTTGAATCATCCTATCTATAAGGATTAATCTTAAACTATAGGATTTTGAAGTTAACCTCTAGGCTAGTTTTATAAACTACCCTAGAATAATTCCAGACTTGGATCACTTAGAAATCTAGCTAATTAACCTGCTAGATGAATTTGTTAACTGCGAAAGATATACATGGGCTAAGGGGCATTTCCCTATGCTTTAACTAAACTGGAACCTCGTATTCATTCGAACTCTGTTTCAGAGAACAGAAGGATAGAGTTATTTTTGCCGACGGATCCGTACTTCAACTAATCTGCGTTAGATAAACTTTTGAATCATAACACTAGTGCATCTGCTTATAGTAAAATATGGACTTATGGCGCCGTTCATTTTTATAGAATTTATACGGGACTCTGCCTAGAGCTTTGGATCACCTATTATTGTAACATAATTGGCTACTAGTACTCTGGTATTCTAGACCCTTGATTTTAGCATCACTCTGGTCCACCCTTTTCTGTATAATACCAGCGACATCGGATTTCTGTCCCTCGTATTCTAGAAGCAGGAACTAAAAATAGCTTGTTTAAAGTACCAGGAATAGATTGAAGGGAATGAGGAGCGCTCACAGAGTGGACCTCCCGTCAAATAATAAATGTTAATTGGCTTTATCTACTGCGCCATATTCCAGCGTCCTATCTCCTAATTCTGGTTATTATACTTAGCCAGTCTCAACAATTTACCACTGCTTTCATATCTCATAGCGCAGTCATTATGATTGAAGTACTCCAGATAACGAGTTTCTTCCTGTTGGCCGGCAATACGCAGGCCAAATACGTATAGCCAGCCGAAGGTGATTTTCTGGAGGACTTGTACGCCATGCAGTCTGGCACAATCCGCTTTGGCTTTACAGACCGTAAGACGCAACTCTTGGCTACTTATGCAATTTCTTGTTTTTTTCCTGACTATTTCTAGTGGTTGTGCCTTGTGGTTTTAATTCCAATGAGCTCGGAAGACAGGTTGCGGCCGAGTGGATAAGAACTGTATTTTACGATACTATTACTCATGATAAAAGCAAAGGCACTGGCGGCCTCGATGCCTCAATCATGTTCGAAACACACCGCGGCGAGAACAATGGGGCGGCCTTCAACCATACTTTGTCCGAACTACCCGAGTTCGTTTCTCCTCGGTTCAGCGGCGCTGATATGCTGGCTTTGAGTCTCGTATCATCCGTTCCTGGCTGCGGCGGACAAAAAGTGCCCCTCCGTATGGGTCGCATCGACGCTGCCAGAGCGGGACAGACTGGCGTGCCAAAGCCTGAGCATAATCTCAAAAGTGCCATGACAGCATTTACGAAAGCTGGTTTTACGCAGGAGGAGATGATAGCTTTGGTGGCTTGCGGTCACACTCTTGGAGGCGTGCATAGTACTGAAAACCCTCGAATCGCAGGAGGAAAGCCGTCTCCGTCAAACAAGCCCAATGTTGACAGTACTTCCGCTAACTTCGATAATGTTGTTGTAAAAGAGTATCTTGGTAGCAGTGGCGTGAACCCACTTGTGTTTGGTCGAAATGAGACCACGAACTCTGGTAAGCGCATCTTTGGTTCTGACAGGAATGTTACTATGGCCAAAATGAAGGACCCCAAAACTTTTCAGCGTTCCTGTGCAACTGTCTTTGAGCGTCTCATTTACACTGTCCCTTCCGCTGTCAAGCCGAGTGCGCCCATCGAACTCATTGATATCAAGCCCTATATCACCAAGCTCAAACCCTCTGGGAAGCAGTCGGGCGTTACCCTGGAGGGTAGGATTCGAGTTCGTACAAGTTAAGAAACCAACCGCGATGCCGACACCCTTCAAGTCTCGTTGAGCCTTATTTCCAAGAGCGGAAAGAGATCGACGGTGAAGGCTTCTCGCATGGTCGGAGGCGGCCAATTCTTTGGCTTCTTTAACGAGATATTTACCTGGTATCAATTTGCTATTTGTATAATGCGACGGCCGACTTCAAGGCATTTGATATCCATCTCAAATCAAAGAACCAGAGAGAGGTTGTTTTTGACGATCAATGCACCGGTGGTTATCCCATCCAGGATGAGCTACTTTTCGTTCAGTCCAAGTCTTGTCTTCAAAGTCAAGTGCATGATGGCAACTTGGCTGTTACCATTGAGGCCGCTGTAAGAAACGATTGTTGTGGTCAAGAACAAGGCCACCGTGATTCAGATGGCTCATAAAATCTGGCAACCTGGAGCAATTCTACCACGAATCTCCATTCAGCCGTCGCAAATGAAGGCTATTAAGAACAAAGGAAGTCCATATCATACACACTATATGGCCAACATCGATATTAATGCCAGAGAGACATTAACAACCTTTGATATACACTATGGCTTGATAGTGTTTGATTTCCATTGGACAAGTCGAGTCCTCGTTTCATGCTGAACATGATATTATATGCTGTCGTATATCAGATAGCTAAAACGTTAAGAGATCTCTGGTGTTTCTATATAGATATGTTTGCTACTAGCTATAAAAAAAAATAAACTAAAAAATACTCCTCCGGTACTGCCTATATATTTCATAATTACGGCATATCTGTATAGAAGCTAATAGGGAAATCCTAGTTGTGCGACTAAGTGCCTACTGCAGCAACCTGTGAGGCAAGTAATATAGGCAGCTCGAGCTTGGACGTAATTTTTGCGTTACAGAGTTGCTTGTCGATCGTGCTTAAAAACCAAGTAAAAGTCCATTTTTTAGAATCTAAGAATAAGGTGTGATTTTTAATAATTTGCGAACATCTATCTCGGACGTAACAATACTGATTAGGCAGAACAAACCCAAATAAAACCACCTGTATAACATTGAATTATTCGGGTTTTGTCGCATAAACTGACCAACTAATATATCATCAGTTTTAACACTTCTTATCTACAGTGCATGACTTACATCGGCCAGTATGAATGAATCTTGACGTTCTTAATATCCTTTCGTACATCGGTTAGAAAAACTTCGACTTCTTCTCTTTTCCAGCCAAGTCCGCCTTGACCATTAGGGCGTGTAAACACAGCGAGACTCAAAGCAGCTAAAGCATCCAGCGTGTTTTGCTGAGCCCAAGTACCTATACAGGCTTTAGTACTTCGTTATAGGAATCTCTAAAGAGGCTCTACTTACCAATCTGCTTATGCTTGGGATCCTTAGGCCATCGGTTTAAAGGCCAGTTGCGTTTAACAATGTTAACATTTGTAAACCCGGCTTCTTGAAGCTGGTCGTTATACTTCAATGCACTGTCCATGGGACGTCCGTTCTTGGTGAAAATGTCATGGAGCATTTCTGACCATTTGGATAATGCGGAGTCTTTGGCGAGTGATCCGTCATCGGAGAGGAGTGGATAGATGATGTCGATCAATTCTATTCTTCCACCAGGGTTGAGGTTCCTATTGACCTTGATTAGAATTGAGGGTTACTTTGGAGGGAAGATGGAGTACTTGAAGCTTTCACTGAAGAACTTAGGCCAGTCTTGGATGGAGCCAGTGAGAAACCGAGCAAAGATGAAGTCAAACTTGTTAGAATAATCCCAGGACTCTTCCAGATCATCTACGTAGAATGAAGCGTTGGGCGGAATGCTTCACAGGATCAGTACAGCCAGATATCAAGAACATGGATTGCATACGCTGAAGGCTGAATTGGGCTCAAGTCGACGCCAATGACCTAAATAAATTAGCATCAAGATGTTTAATATTTTTTAATTCACTGACCTCGCACTCAGGATGTTCGTCGGCTACACGCGCGGTCAATACTCATTTCACCGTAGAATGTCTGAGGTCACTCACCAAGCTCAATGGCCCAGATTCCAGTACCACAACCGGCATCAAGAGCGCGTTTGAAGTTCTTAGGCAAGGGAGCTGTATGTAGTCGTTCTTCAAAAGTGAGAAGGAATAGATGATGTTGAAGATCTGTACGGATATCGGATTAGATTAAGTCATGCGAAAAAGTAGTTAGAAATACCTAATCGTTCGTTTTCAATCTGGCTCCAAATCAGCATTGATAATTCTGCATGTATTGTTGAGACTTACATCGTCGTTAGGGAGTGAATAAGCTATGCCAATCAGCTTTACTGTTAGTCGTACAACCATCAAATCCTCGGATCTCACCTCCGTCTTTGTAAGCGTGGTATGTCCTCCCATTTTCCTCACGGTACCTCAGAATACTTGATCTCAGTGATGTAGTATCACTGCCGGTATCCTATGAGTCGTTAGCTTCAGAAGGTATTGAGAAAATACCCACTTACGTCTCCAAGGGCGGAGTCAGCATCGGTATCATCCTGCGCCGCCTGCCCACTCGTTAGCGACACCTGGATAGCCTACAATCACTGTGGATTCTTACATGCTCATCAACGGTAAGAGGGTCCTCGTCCGCGCACATCGTCAAAGCTTGGTCTGGTGTTTGATGTTACGTTAGGTAAAAATGGTGGTCGGGACGAGTGGGGCGTGAGGACAGATCATCTGCCCCCAGTCACGTGTGATACATCCATATCGCGATACACCAAGACTAGCACGATATCGGCTAGATCAGTGCCAGTATCCCTGTAGATATCCCGTTCCATGCCCAGACTAAGCCCAAGAGCGGGGTTTTGAGCAATGCTACCAGAACCAACACACAAATTAATAAGTAAACAACGACCAACAAACTAATCAACTCTTCCGTGTCTGCGTCCAGCATGTCACACGCCGGAAAAACGCAATACGATTCTTTCGCTCCCAAGTATGCATCTGTTAGTGAGCTGCCCTGTTCGAAACTTGAGGGTCAGCTTGTGAGGAATGCCTTGGGGGACTGTACGGGATTAAAAGTGCTGGATCTTGGTGGGGGGAGCGGACTTCATGCTAGAAGGGCGATTGAAGCTGGGGCGAAAGTTGTGGATGTTGTTGATATTTCGCCTGAGATGATGAAAGCCGGCAAAGAGATCGAGACAAGCCTCGGACGACAGGGCTGCATTCGCTGGTTCGAAGCCGATGTCACCAAGCCAGTCACAGAGCAAGTCAACATCGAAGATAATTACGATATCGTGATGGCAAATTGGGTGCTTGATCACGCTACCTCTGTTTCCGAATTACGAAGCATTTATGAGAATGTTGTCAAGAACTTGAAGGTTGGTGGCAAGTTCCTTGGCGTAAGGGCAAAGAGTATCCGAGCCGCGTATATGAGCTACGGCAAATACGGTGTCATCTTCACCGATGTTACAGACATTCCCGGCGGCCTGAGTTATCAAGTCAACTGTGTTACCGAGCCGCCATTCTCATTCGAGGCTACCTCGATGGAATCGACTTACTCGCTGTCTGATGATATTGGAAAAGAGTTTGGGCTGGTTGAAATGCAGGTTACCCCAGCCGAAGAGACAGAACTTGTGAAGAATGACCGCGAGTTCTGGGAGGATTATCTCAAGGACCCCAACTTCGTCGTCGTAGTGGGAAAGAAGGCATGAATTTCGTTTGGTCAAATCTATCCTAGTATACTTGTCTACCCACGGTTGCCTGTGAAAGGAAACGGTATTCTTTATCAACTTTCCACGATAGCCTGTAGGTGTAGAACAATAAGCTGTTCAATCCTCTCGCTGTGCTTTATAAATCCAATCCCCCAATTCAAGTTCCCGGAATTCACTGACGTAACATGCGTCTTGGCTGCCCATATCGGGTTAGCTGCGACTGGTCTGCGGGCATTCTAATTGCTTCAAGATTCGCCAACGCAAGCTTGAACTTACCCGCCAGTAACAGCTACTTTATTGGGGTGGAGACTAATGATAGGCTTTCACTACACAGCGTTCGCAAGGCAAGGCCGTTGCTTTGTTCAGACCACATCAACCGACAGCTCGTCGAAGTAATAGTCCAAATGAGTCTTCATTTGGTGATACGCACCACTCCATTAGTTCCCGAAGAGGCCGCATCCTAACCACGAAAGACCAAATCGTAAGTGGAGCTTGGTGCCCAACCCCTAAAAGAGTTGCAGGGCCAGTCGCATCACGACCTACGGCTTTGGTTAAGGCGCGGCAAGAGATAAGCATAGAGCTGGATGAAGTTACGATTACAAGACCATATCTCATGTTGCTGCTGATTAAAACAGTTTGGATTGTTAATAGTTATTGTGATATAAATTCTAACTGTAAAGACAGTGAGGATATAGAAATTATATCAAGTGGTAAATAAATAATAGAAATCAATAAAGACAGTGGTAAATTTCCCAATTCAAACTCTTAAAATACTGTGGTACCTTTGAGCCTAGCAGGTACAACACAATCCTCACGGCACACTTTCTCTGGATGTCCAGGGCCATCAGCACCTTCAAGGTTACCGCAAGTGCACAAGTCGGTAGTGTAGAAGGGAAGGTTCGACTTGTCCTTGCGGGGCGAAACCATCTCCCAGTCTCCTTCACTAAGACCTGCACCCAGGGGACATTCAGCACCTGGTAGCAAAAGCTCCATATGACCCTTGACACGTCTCATTCCAGGGTAAACGAGAAGTGAGCAAAAGAAGTCGCCGCCCTCAGGGCATGTACTTTCGGTTTGTGTGCTCACGGTGATCTCAATGGACTCTGAAACCTCAGCCGAAAGAGATGCTGAGCCGGTGATGACTTTCTCAAAGCTAAGTCCGAGGCTACCGCCAATGGTCCAGCTGGATCCTACGGTGTATGATTGTCCGGTAGCAATGTCTGTTGACAGCATATTAGTACAAGACACGAGATAGAGAAAACGGATAGGGAACTAACTGGAACCACTTTTAGCTGAGGCACCAACCTGCCAAGATTCACCGGTGATGTTTTCCTCCGAGTCAATGACGGGGCAGTAATAATCGGGGAGAGTATCGGGTGGAGGAGTGCAACCAGTGCACTGGCGGTCTTCGAGGTTCTTCTCGGCTGGTAGAGCAGAGACAGTTTGGACAGCTAACAGAGCGGGCAAAGAGACAAAAAAGAGCTTGCTGAAAGACATCTTGGAATGTAGTGATATTTGTGTATCTGGGATAGTTCTTTAGAGTTCGAGTGAAAGCTGATGAGACAAGCTGTTTGTTGTTTTTCTGAATTCATGTTTAGCACAATCTGAAGGGGTATTTATACAATTTCCATCTGTACATAGATTAGGAAAAGACTTTATTTACAAGGAACAAATCTTGTTTTTTGGTGATGATCGTGAAGATCGACGATCGTTCCTAACTCCTCCAACATAGGCAGTCCAGATCTTGTCTGAAGCTGAATATCAAAGCGTTGCAGGGATTGACAGATTGGGTTGTTAGGGTACGCTCAGATACTCGCGAGACTTTAGCGCGGAAGAAAGAACTTCCATCATAACTTCAATCTTTTATTTTTAATTATTCTTATATTCGAGAAAGAGTAGGTATTAGTTAGTTGAGTTCTATTGGTTCTCAGTATTGCATAAGCAGTGATCTGGGGAATATCCTAAGATATAGGGGTACACTCTTGCTTGGCAACAAATATTTCAGCTTTTCTCATTCGAGTATGACATGTCCAGGAGGACTACCTACTTCTGGATTACAATTAGTGTAAACCTTCATTTAGCTCAGATCACCAACTCGTAGGATTCTAATCGTAGCAGGTCATGCATATAACTCTTTCTTACCACAGTATCATTGGGCTGTGCAAATAAAATACTCACGGCACTTTTGTAGTCCGCGGCTAGATAGTGTTATCTAAACGATGCAGACAGCCAATGCCACTTTAGGCGCTGATCATCATTGTAAGCGAACTATTGACCATTTACGTCTATAATTTTAATGAAATAATAATTATTCTTGCCATTTTTCACTTATCACTATGCATTTATATCCAAATCTTGACATTGATACTACATACTGTACACTTATAACCAAACAGCGAACAGCAGACAGATGATCCCGCATAACTAAGTTGTTCAGTATTGGAAGGCATGCAATCATCTGTTTTCTAGGCACAGTCAATTGAACACTTTCATCTAGACGAACATGGCAATAAAGACTTCAATTACGGTGGAATGAGGACAACCTTAAATTCATTCTTGTTTGTCTTGAGTCACTGAATTAGGAAGGTGGTATACAGTAGGATTCAATTTAATTGAGATTTACATTAATACCTCCACAAAAACTTTTGTAAACGTAAACGATACCTCAACGATAACAAAATGAGCTCTTCTTTACTTTTAAGGGCTGAGCTGGGAAGGTGAATATAGTAGGATTTGATATAGCATTCGCTTATGCCTCTGTCGTTCTTACTTTTGTTTCGCCCTTGAAAGAAAATAGCGTCAGTGGCTTTCAATGCATCAAAAATACGAACATATAACGCACGAAGGATTCGGTAGTATGTCTACGACGTCATATCTGATTCAAGACGAGTATTGATCCTACGTTTCTCCACATGCTATGACTATAAGCAGACCAGTCCAATTGGGAGGTTCAAACAAAGTTCCTGCTTTTAACAAGGCTTAAGCGTCCCGTGCTGCGCCGCAGGCGATGGGTGAGCTAACGCTTGGCGATCAGTGGAGCCACTGGACACATACATCACGGTACCAGAAATGTTAGCCGCTGGAAGAATAAAAGACAAATTAATAGGTCAGTATATGCTACTTAGGCGACACTTGTTAGACTACTTATTCTTGCACCCGAAGACTTAGGAGGTGAACCTTTATATTACCCAGTAGACAGGTTGATAACCTAAGCTCAATGGTAACCACTAATATATTCCCCTTAGCCTGGGCAATTCTATGCTTAATATCTATGTATATTTCTATTCAATTGACTTTGGAGATCGGCGAACTTGGAACACTTTCTCTGGATCTACAAGCCTTTTTCAATTGAAGGGGATTTCGTACCCAACTAATAATCCCTCGCATGTCTGGATTCTCTCCAGTTCCTTGTGTCCTCAGATCACCAAGCTGGTAGTCGACGTGGACTTGAGTCAGTTGCAAACGGCCCTGCTACTATGACCAAAGCTTTTTATCAAGCAGGGTCATTCTCTTACTCATAAGTTTATTAGCCGATCATGCTCGGGAATTTAATCGAAGTTCGAAGACGGGATCAAGACGGTTTCGAACGATATTTTTATTAAATCGACTTAACTAATTGACGGCCTTTCAGCTAAACTATTGAGCTAAATCTGGTGCTATACTATTAAGATAATAACCAAAGAGAATTGTCTATTGTTAAATGACTGATCTTCTCGAAATGGGTTTGAGCAGATGATAGAAATTCCAGCCATCTTGGGTATGATGGACTCTCGAAGTGTGATAGTATTAGCTGAATATGGTGATAGGAAAGAGGGCCTGTGAATGATTCCTTGAAACTACGGAACGAGACTGTTGTACGAATGAGCATCTGTTTTAGGGCCTAGAGACTGTATACTCACGAATCAGTAAGCTTGGCAGTTTCCAGTAAGTTGCAAACTGCTCTAGCTGGAGTACGAGTAGAAGTTCGTAGTTTTCAATCTTAGATATGAGATGATTATCCGTGGCCCCGGCAGATTTTTTGTCGAAGTCCAGGAAAATGAGAGCAGTGAAGATGATACACGAGACGGCAGGGTCAACTGTAAGAGTAAAGTTGCTGTTCCTTTTCTCTGCTATGCCAGCTATGTTTTGGCAAATCTCAAGAACTCGTTGCCAACTAAACGTCCATTCTTCGGCTTCTGGGAGGAAGTAACAACGTGCAACGGTAGCTAAGAACTCAACCATGTATACATGAAGGACTGCTATGAGACGCGCATGATGATCGCCATTTGCCTCATTTAGGAACGCATTACGCCCAGGATTAAGAAACCATGGAGGAGGGGCGAGTCGCATTGCTGAAAGTGTGCGCTCGGCGCTAAGCAAAAAGGTACTAACCTCTTCCCGAGAGATAAAGTAGTGCAAAGCTATGGATCTGCCGAATTAACGTAGGATGGTGGTGGTGATGAGGTGGATGTTAAATAACAAGGTAGGGTTCAAGTCATTTTTGACGGACAATAAAAAATTTGGAAGACCATTCGGTTCAAAAGGCAATCTAAGGGACTCTTGAAGGGGCCTTTAAAGGTGATCGATACTATGATCATGAATCAAAGAGCTGTCCCCAAAGCGCTCATTGATCTGGTAAGGCGTACCGGATGAAAGGTTGACGTATGAGTCGAGACGATATACACACCACTAAACGAGCTTCCAGTTCTGTAAATCGCTCTGACTAACATCCACTCATTGGGGAGAGATAGACTGGATTATATCCAATCAGTCAAGTCCCGTTTAGTACGCTAGGCGAACGCGTTTTCCCACTTACATCCAAGCTTGCTGCCCGGGAAACTAATGAAACTCATAGAAGGCGCGAAGGCAGAATTTGCGAAACCTATCCAAATTAGCAAAGTCGCTTGCAGTGTCTTCTTGTAATGATGTGTTACTAAGTATTTGGTCCAGTCGAGAATCCAGGTTGAATTGGCTCGATGAGAATTTAAACCTGATCAGTTTTGCTGTGACAAAAACAATAGCTTGAATAAGATCGCGACTACGTATTGACCTTATGTCGTTTGTGTATATGTTCGCTATTGCCATAGAGAACAGTGGTATAACATTGTCAATAGTCTTGAAATATTCATTTAGTCTGTAAGGGGCAGCATTGGTTTTTAAAATGTCAGAGGTACATTTTCTTACAGATAGGCCTCTTCTTCAGGTGAGATGTTGAAAACCCAATAATTACAGCTTTCGAGTCCTGTCGAGCCAAAGAAACGTAATGCGTTTGTTTCGTTTGTAGCACTTTCGGGTGATATGCCAGAAGCTGGCGCAGCTGAAGAAACTGTTAACGAAGGAGTATCAGTAACAGACACGTCGCCATTGTAAACTGTAGATTGGCATAGTTCTCACAACAGAATGTAAGTTGATGTTAATACTTACGGAGCTGAACCGTACCATCAGACGCTCCTTGAGGATCATGCAGGTCTTGGACTACTCGTGCTTCTCGTGCTTCTCGTAGTGCTTGGAGTGTTTGTTTTGTGCGTCCGGTCCAAGGCCCGGGTCCAGGAGATCGACGAATAGTAGAGTATATGCAAGTCTCTCCACGATCGGAGCAACGAGAGCATATTGGTTGACCCAAATCGCCTGTGGATTTACCCCAGGTTACTATCAATGGCTAATGAGAAACTTCTTGAATAATATATATTCAACTTTGGAGCTATCACAGGCAACGTAAGCCAATAGTGTCGTACAATCATAACAAATCTCTGTACAAACTGGATTCAACTATCACAGACTCTACTGGCTTGGCGGAAGCCGACATCACGAGATGCTAACGCGGACTGTTGCTCCATCGGGAGAACCCTTGGTATGTCGATCCCTATAGCGCTATAAAGCCAATGCCAGTAGTGAAAAAGGATAATTCGGAGAATTTGAAAACCGGATGAGGTCGTGGAGAAACCAAGTGTTTCCGAACTTGTGGTAACGGTGGAGGGGGGGGCAGATCCGAAGGGGTCCAAGATAGAGCGTTACGCTAATGGCGATGTTGTCGACAGATCAACACCAACCAGCAGAGATGTCGTTGAGCCAATGTCAGTATGGGGGCCAGACGTTCCTAAAAACTTTGGATCAAAGGTTCTAGGGACGGAACAAGTCGTGGTTCCTGCAAATTTCCATTCACTCTCAATTAATAGTACCTTGTCCACTCATGATCTTCAGTAGCACGTTTTTCCCTGTAGTGGATCACCACTAGCTTCGAGCACTTAAAGAATGTCCAGTGAATATCATGCTGCAATATGCTTGCAAGGTATTGTTAAGAAACAATTAAACTTCCACTGTGCTATTAAAACTTGCTTGCAAGTGTTGCTGCATTTATCCCGCCGCACATGATTATCCGATCGGGCGCAGAAGAATAATGAAACCAGTACAACTGATCTAGAGCGAAATTCTCATCAACAAGGTCAGAACAACAGTCGACGCAAAGTTTCTACCTGCTAACAGATACATGGGACGTAGCAATGGAAGATATCTAAATGAAATCTTGGCTGTATTGCCAAGACTTGGGTTTCCCACTCCAAGCTTCCACATTGAAACTGTTTCGCGGGGGATCTACAAGACGGAAAGGCCAAGACTCGAAATTTACTGGAAGCGTGGGGCATTTACATAGCCATGTGGAAACATCCCCGAGACATTTCGCGCAATCTAATTCACAATTGCACGTCTAGATCTGTGTCGTTATAACTAGGTGTGGTATGATTGGTAAGACCTCTCTAGCTAGGAATACGGCCTAACATAGTGACGACAAGTTTAAAACTGGACTCCATTGTAGTGGAAACCTTTCCTGTAGTTAACCCCAGGTTCTACAAATATTAATCCACCAGGTTAGCAGAGTCGCCGATAGACGTCTACGCTTCCCCGGATTTTAATATCCTTATCAAAGTATGACTGCACCAACAGCCACGAGATACTTGGCGTTACAAGGCATCAAGATCTACATCCCGTAGTGCATAACTGCGGGCGCAAATATGGATGTTTGCTGCCTTCGAAGGGTTTGTAAAAATAGACCGGCTATTCGTTAGTGTGCTTTTATGACAGATATGGATTGGTATCTCATGCCAAGCAACAGATGGTCGAGACTATGTTGACGAGCATAATTAGTTAACAATGACGGAAACCTAGACTCTTTTAGTTGAAGCTGTATCAGAGCTTGGAGACTCGATATATAGCTTGAAGCAACATGAACAATGTATAGCATCAACGGGCAGACACATGGGGTCTTATCTGTTGATTTGTTTTTTAACAAACAGGAGACATATGTGGAACAAATGACTGATCAGTGACTCATCAACTGAAAAGTGTAACCGAGGACACAAAAAGTCTAGAACTTATAGAAGTTTGTCACTGCATCAAGATGAATAAACCTTCTCCACGGCGAAAGGCCCAGGTACGCGGGGCAGTTTTCTCTAAACGCCGATCCTCCGAAGTTATCTCCACAGCCCACTCGGAACATGGTTGACCATTTGCTGGAACTCTACTGGCACCAGCGAAATTTAAGCTTATTTTGGTGGATGGTCCGGGGTAGCTTAACAACAACAAGGGATATTGATATCCACAACTTTAGGGTTACAGATCTGACCTGCAATAGTGTTGCGTTATATGGATGACATTCCGTTTTCTCCCGGTGTCAACGAGGATGTTGAACCACTGAATGATGGGGAAGCCTGCGAGAGAAAGAGAATCTTTGGTAACCGTATGCTAGCCTGGTTCACGTCAGTACGCATTTGGCCTCTCGAACAAAACCGCAGACAAGATCGGCAGTCAACGTTGCATCGTTTAAGAACCGAGGCATTTACTTGAACCCCAATCCTGGCTCCAAGTAAAGGATTCTACACTTTGGAAACATATGCCTTGTTAAAATAACATAATAATTAAGGTTAGCCTCTTCCCGGGGTGGCATTGACAATAAGCAATCGACTGATTCATGCGGGGCACATGGAGGCTTCGGCGCATAGATTTGCTTGCCGAGCGCGAGTCGTGTGACCAATGACGGGGATTGAATGACGGACGGATTTACCTTCAAAGCTTGTTCGGCAGCTAAACTTTACAAGGCGGGCCGGAGAGTGTATCGGAGATCGTAAAGAGCCTCTAGAGAATTGGCATCTAGACCCTAAAGCTTGAGGGTTCTTGGCAGTGTATAGAAGAATTCGCATCAAAACTGACGTTATATATAGACTTAGATAAGGACTTCATTCTTTGCGGCTGTAAACATATCCAAGTGGTTGGAGATTTGCCTTGTACGTCTTTCAACAATGCAATGGCGACGCCTGCAACATCACGAACCATCATCTTCACCACGGAAAAGCACAACCTTCTCAAAGGGAAAATCCCAACTTCCCCTCACCTTTATCGTCTTGGCATTCTCCACAGCAGACACACTCATGATCAGAACAAGTTCGAAATTGTCACTGCAACATTGACTAGCTCCAACACAACCCCAGCCTGGGGATAGTCACCCTGCTTACCTCGTTTCTCGTTACCCCACGGGGAAGCCTGGTGGAGTGAATACAACGGTTACGACGATCTTGACCACTCAAAGCTCACGTCTTACATTTTTACTTCTCGGATAGAAAAGCGATGAGCAAAGACTCTCGAAATAAATATTTAAAAGGCTTCGTATCCCCCCCCCCTCTGATCAGAATAGTTACAGACACTTGCACGTCTTGTATCTTGCGTTACTCTACTTGTCTCTTATAGACAAACATCTTTGACTCAAAGCTTTTGCTTTTACTTCTTTACACTTTATTATCGAATGGGCTGGAATACTCATGCGTCGGGCACCAATGATCCGCCTGAGGTGCGGAACTGGCGAATCCACCTGATTGCCACGGTGGCTTCCATGTCCGCCCTCGCCAGTGAGTTTCAGTCTCAAGATTGTGGAAGAGACGTGATGCTGATTATGTACAGTTGGATATGACACTTCTGTTATTGGAGGTTTGACATCCCTTGCCCAGTGACATGACCATTGTTGACATGTAAAAGGTACTATGGCATTGACCTCTTTCATGAGGGATTTTGGCCTTGACCTCGTCGAAAAGACACAGCGCGACACCATCCAGGGAAACATTGTATCCACCTTTCAGGTACGTCTCTCTTCGACGGATACCAAGTTGACAAGGGCTAACATACTCATAGGCTGGCTGTTTCTTCGGTGCCCTGTGCACATTCCCCATTGCTGAGAAATGGGGCCGCAAGAAGACCATCATGGCAGCAGCCTGTATCTTCTTGATCGGCGGCGCTCTCATGACCGCCGCCAACGGTAATCTCAACATGATCTACGCCGGCCGTGCTGTAGCAGGCCTCGGTCTCGGCGCTTCCTCTCTCACTGTCCCCGTATACATTAGCGAAACCGCCCCTCCGTCCATCCGTGGTCGTCTGATTGGTATTTTCGAAATCGCCTCCCAGGGCGGTGGTATGCTGGGCTTTTGGATCAACTACGCTACTGACCGCACCATCAACGTCGAGACCAAGACACAGTGGATTGTCCCGCTGGGTCTTCAGCTCTTGCCTGGTGCTGGTCTTGCGTTGGGTATGCTTTGGTGCCCCGAATCGCCACGTTGGTTGGCGAGGGGTGATCGCTTTGAGGAAGCTGAGAAGATCTTGGCGCAGATTCGTGGCATGTCGCCTGATAATGAGTATATCCGTCGAGAGATGGGTGATATTCGCGCACAGGTTGAAGAGCGCAGTACAAACAAGATGAGCAAGAAGCAACAGTTCATGAAGCTTTTCCAGAAGGGCGTGCGCAACCGTATGGGTATTGGTATGGCACTCATGTTCTTGCAGAGTTTCACTGGTGTCAACATCATCACTTACTACGCTCCCCGTATTTTTGAGAGTCTTGGTATTCCTGGTACCTCGCTCAAGCTCTTCTCTACTGGTTTCTACGGTATCTCCAAGACACTCGGTATGGTCATGTTTACTTTTTGGGTTGTTGAAAAGGTTGGTCGTCGCAAGGGTCTCATCTGGGGCGCTGCGCTTGGATGTATTCCTATGCTTTACATCGGTGGTTATGTCATGAAAGCTGACCCTGCTGCTGCCGCCGCGGCTGGTGTTGTCAACCGTGACGGATGGGGATACCTGGCAATTGTTTGTGTATACATCAACGCCATCATCATCTGTGCGACATGGCAGGGTATCACCTGGACGTACGCTTCCGAGATCTTCCCTCTCGACATCCGTATGCTGTGTGTCGCCATTACCACTGCCGATACATGGTTAGGTTCATTCATCATTGCGCGATCAACGCCTTACATGATCTCCGATCTTGGATATGGAGCTTACTTCTTCTTTGGTTCGATTTTGGTCTTGATGGGTATCTGGTCACTATTCTTCGTTCCCGAGACAAAGGGTAAGTTACACAAATGCTTCCAGAAATGTTCTGTGTCCCAAATGCTGACTCATTATCCAGGTATTACCCTAGAGGACATGGACGCGCTGTTCGCCAAGCCAGTGTACAAGACAGTCTGGGCCCAAATGCGAGGAAAACCCATCCTGGAAGGAAACGCGGCCAACCGATCCGACTCCCCGTTCGACGACGACGACGAAAAGGCCCGCGAGATGAGGATACCTTAGCTGGCCTCCCGACCGGGGTTTTTTTCTTTTGCAGCTGTGCCCGCCTTGTCTTTAGATAACGGCAATGTGAAATTAGACTCGTTATCGGCTGCAGCCACTTGTGTCCCTCTTTCTTATCCGTGCTGTGTGACTGGTGACAGTAATCTGACCGGACAGTGGTGGTGCTGTGCCTCGTTCCAGAAGAGCTCTAGCTTT